TTGGCTGATTACTATGATTGATTGATGATTACCATGATTGATTGATGGCTATGGTTGGTTGATGACCATGAATGATTGACTGTTTAATTGACTGATTGATTGGTGACAATTATGATTGATCGACGATGATCATGATAGGCTGATGATTATGACTGATTGGCTGATGATTATGGTTGGTCGATGACTGTGATTGATTGATTGAATGAATGAATGAATGAATGAATGAATGAATGATTGATTGATTGATTGATTGATTGATTGATTGATTGATTGATTTTTTGTTTGTTTGTTTGTTTGTTTGTTTGTAGTGATCGATTGATTGATTGATGCTGATATATTATGATTAATGATTGATGCTTATGCTTGATTATTGATGATAACACATGATTAATCACGATCGTCGTTGATGAAGTATCACGGTGATAATCATTCTGACGGTTGATAGCAATGACTGATGATTATGATTGGTAGTGATGATGGGTAACTGTGATTTTGATTATCATTATTGTTATCAATGATTGAATACAAAGATCAATGATGGCGTATCATAATGCCGCCGAGAGGGGGCAAGGGGGAGCAAACTGCCCCAGGGCCTCAAGTTCTAGGGGGCCTCATAAAGCAACGAATTTCATTTTAAGAATTGGATTATTCAAAGTTTCAAAAGTATGCTTAAAAATAGCACAACATTTGGAATGATTGCAGAAATGAATTTTCTGAAATGCATTTCAAGCGAAAGTGGAGGCCGCGGCCACAAAAAGTTTTTGCTCGCAAAGAGCCTGGTTTTTCGATTTTCCCCAGAGTCTCCAAAACGTCTAGACTGCCCTGACAGCAACTATGATTGTTGATTTTTCTGATTTGAAGTTGTCGAAGAATAGAATGCTAATAATAATAATAATGATAATATTTATCAGTGACCTAAGATGATTATCATGCTAAAGTTGGTCGTATACAATTCGATAGAAAAATTCTTCTGAGATAAGTCTATTTACTTGCTAACAAGCTCGTATTTTATTCGACCATGAGTCATGAATAATTGATAATGTTTGAGGAACCTTGTGTTTAATAAAATGCAATATCATATTTGTATTTGAATAAAGATCATTTGACAACGACGATCAAATATTTGTTTTTCATAAAAACCCTCATCATAAATTTACAAACACGCAGAAACACACTTTGAAAGAAAATAATTTTTAAAACATTGCTCTTAACTATTCTAATTAAAAAGTGGAATTTCTAAATTTATGTTTTCTATCGGAAAAATGATTTTTAAATGATATTAGCAAATCTTTTGATTGATTTCAAGTTCTATATTCGTTCTTGATATATCAAGAACATCGACAAGTTATTTCCTGTACATGGGGAAAGGAAATTCGGAGAGAGGCCAGAAGTGTTTAGCCTCTGATGATTACCATAGTGAGACCATGACGTCACTAAAACATACAAGTCAAAAACTTTGCTACGTAGACATAGGAGCCAGGGGGCACAAGGGGCACGAGCCTAACCCACTAAGTCAAGGGCAATGTACCTACTTACAGCTTACAGAGGTGCCCCTATTTTGACTACATATGGTCCCTTCTACCCTGGGTACCAGACTCACTCTGTATAAAATGACAGGGTAGCCCCCGTCCAACTATTGAAATGCTTTCTACGTTCATACTTGGAAATTAACTATCTTTAAATCTCCCGTCTGGCAATATCAAACCATATTATACTATATTATACTATTAGACTACGCCTGGCAATATCATGCTATATTATACTATATTATACTATCAGACTACGTCAGGCAATATCAAACTATGTTTTACTATTAGACTACATCTGGCAATATTATACTAAATATATTATACTATTATACCATGTCTGACAATATTAAACCATATTATTCTATCAGACTACTTCTTGCAATATTAAACCATATTATACTATTATACTAATGCTACTGATATATAGACAATTGATACTGATAATAATAATCATGGTGAGTTTTCTGATTTCTACGATCTACAGAGGAAACAGAAAATCTCATCCGGTTCGAGCCTGTCAACTTGCATTGCTTTTGTAAACTGTCTCTTTACATATAGCAGACAAACTTAATTATATTACAAAACTCTTTCCTATTAACTGGTTTCTTAAGCTTGATTTTTACAAGCTACCAGAAAGGTATTCCCGCGATTTGCATGGAAAAGTTTGAATACACTCATTTTTTTTATAAGAAACAAAGGTCGATGTTGAATACTCAAGTTTCCTAATGCTCTGGAAAATTCAATACTCATTGTTTCTTAAGAGTTTCTTAATTATGATGTCATGAATGATGTTATGAAATTTTGGTGACCTTTTTTATCACGTCAAGAGATTCGCTTCCGTTCCGATGCTGTATTTAGATGTGGGAAGTATATTTTTATCCCTTGTGTCTTAATTTCTAGGCCAACAGGGCAATCTTGTTCTTGGATTTTACAAAATTTCGCTGTTCTCAGTTTTATCACGATTTAACAGTTTCTTAATTTTTTCGTTCGAGTACTGAAGTTTTGTAATATTTTCCGACTGTCCAGTACTCGTTTCTCATAGCCAGTTTCCTATAAAAAAATGAGTATATTAAAAAAACAGTTTGTGTCAGTCATGTCTGGCAACTGCTGAAAGTGAGACATAAATGTGCGAGCCAGTAGTGGTTTTAGGGACGGCGGGGCCCGGGGCAAAAAACATCTACGAGGACGTTGTTCTCCACAATTATTGCTTTTTGATACTTCTGTCTTAGGTGTGGGACCCCTTTTGGCTATCATAAGCGCACGATCTGGGGCTATGGCCCTCTGGACCCCCTAAAACCGCTACTAGTGAAAGCTGAGGCAGAACAATAGTATTTTAATATTCTTAAAAATTTGCTTAGTTTGGGTCTGTATATTCTTGTAAACAATACTCTTATAAGAAAGAGTGTACCTTTTTTGGTATGGTTAGGCCCAAGTGCCTGATATTATGAACATAGAAACAACAAACGCCAGACCGAAACTGGGGCCAGGTGTTCTTATAAAAATACGTGTACCTAATTGTAAAAGATTGCTAGTCTGATTCAGAGCAACAGAAGAAAGATTCAAATGGTATTTTGTTATTTCCTCTCAAATAGTAACCCTTTGATTACCCTGGCTACCAGAGCCTCAAGAATCCGTATTGTAGACAGTTATGGTGGCAAATAGTAAGTTGATGCGGAGAAGGGGAAGGAAATTATCTATTTCCAATCCTTGCTTAGGATATTTTTCTGTTACCTCTTTTTAACTATATTTCTGAGACTGAAAAATGGAGACTCTGCTACCCGGGTTACCCTTAGATACAGAATAGAGAGCCATGTTATATTTCCGAAAAGATCAGAAGCTTCCTTCCAAAATAGCAATAGCTTTATATGAGGGTGTTTTTGCCACCTCTGACCCCCTCTATCTACGCCACTGACCGTATACGGGAATCAATTTTCCAATTGACGAACTGTCTAATTCAGATCAGTGCCCTTAATCGTTATGAGGTCATATGCATAGTGTCGAGGTTACATGCATACAAGGCTGGCCGTTACGTTTATTGGCAAGGGGATCAGTTATCAAATCTGATTAAAGGAGTGACTCAAACGTCAAAAGCCTTTTAAGATTGAAGCTATGAAAACAGCCATTAACTTGGATTTTCACGAAAGCCGTTTAAACGCAAAGTCTTTCCATAAAAAGCTATGGATGGAGAGAATATCAGCCATAAGACGTCAGCCAAGAAAATTCGAGAAAATGTTGAGCACAAAATCGTATCCTGGCGACAAGAGTCGAATTGCGCAAGACAGACGTCGCATTGCGCCCCACAATCACAAATTGTTCAACAGCGAATTTCTTTATATGGCCTGAATTTTCAAAAATAAAATCTAAATGTGCGAGAAAATGAGCCTTTTTAGGCCATGCCCCTTTTTACTGTCAGGAAACGCCCATTTAATAACATGACGCATATTTACTAATAGGAAACGACTATTGTCTGATATTTTGTTACGCATAGGCAACATAGAATCACCCCTTCAATACATAGAATACATTGGAAAAAATTACCCCTTCTGCAATATTTTCTCATCGAGATTAGACGAAAAACAAAGTCGATACAGGGCCGTCGCTAGCTACTCTGCTGAAGGAGTGGGGGAGAGGTGCTACAATCTCATTAGCCGACAAATTTTGTGAACCGTCCCTTGTTTGCCGATAAATCTGGAATTTGCCAGTGAAGCACCTCTATATGGTTAAAAAACTTTTCATTTTCACAATGAAATTTTTTGTCAAGGGGTGTCGCACCCTGCTCCCTGTAGCGATGACCCTAAGTCGATGCAGCCAAAAACTAGGGGGTGGCACTTGAATATGAAAATGAAAGGGGGTGTGCGAAAAACCCTTTTTCAATCTGACCCTGTTCCATAAATTAATTACCAAAAGCATACCCTGCCCAATAAAAAGGATGCCAAAAATATGGCATAATTATGCAAAAAGATACCAGATCTTTTTTGAGATTAGCCTACAAAGCCAGAGCTTCTAAATCAACACCGATGCCATTGGAACGATTCATTTTTCTAGTTTGTTGTGTTATTCTTAATAATATTCATCGCGTTGTATTATATGCTATGACCCTAAGTGGCTGTTCTTGTTTATGAAAAAAAAAAGAAAAATATACCAGATCTCCCGATAATTACCACTAGCAAATGTAACTGAAACATGTTTACTCTAAGAAACCCCTAAGCTGTATTTTCTTAGTATTTTCTTAATTTTGATATCATATTCTTGAATTATGGCACGATTCATAATACCATGTCCTTTAATCTCTATCAGAAAAGGATACCCAATTCGGCAGCACATCTCGTCAGGTCAAGTATGGGAGTGCCCCAAGGGTGCCGACTTGGCGCTGCCATTGTTTTCTCTGCTCTACTCCTTCCAACAAATTTCGTTTTTCTTATAATTTTCGGAAAATATTTCAAGCTTTAGGACAACGAAACAAGAAGTCTGTTCTTTGTTTAAGAGTTGTATCTCATGATTACATAAATACAACTGGGAAATAAAAATACTGACGTAACTCAGGATGCCGGCAACAGAAGGCAGCCCCGTATTTCAACTCTTCTACAACGTAAACAACAGTAAAAATTCGGAATATCCGGGTGTAAGGTTATATTATCGATTTACAAGAAAACAACCGAGACAAAATTGACGTCATCTGCAGCCTCTTTATAAAGAACAGCAAACGAGGCTATTATTTACATTGCCGAAACTTCTTGCTATAAAACATAGTCCTCAATCAAACGAAAATAAATAAGTGTGGCATGGACTGGCAATGAATGTACTGCCGGTCAGAAAATTTATTTAGATATCTTCAAACTTCAGACAGATACAAACGGCAGATGACGTCAAGATTAAAGAGGCTTGGAACGGACATTAGGTTAGTATACATACAAAAGAGCCCGCGATACAAGTGGCCAGTTAATAGCAAATGTGGGCCTAAAACTAAGAGAAAGGGAAATACTAGTGTTTTCGGCATACAGATTTCTATCAGTAGTTGATGGGTATTTTGAAGGGTTGGGGGGGGGGAGGCAGAAAAAGTCCGCGTTACCAGTTGCCAGTTAATATCGATTGTGGGCAAAAACCTAACAGAGAAGGAAAATACTGGTGTTATTGGCAAACAGTTTCATATCGATGGTTGACAGATATTTGGAGGAAAGGGGGGAGGGGGGTACAGAAAACAGTCCCAGCTACAAATGGCTTGCTAAGATCGCAAGTGGGCCTTGGAAAAATGGCCATCTCTCTACTTTTTTCTATTGTTTTTTAGAAATTTTACACCATTGTATTTTTAATAGCAACACATCCTTGGAGGAGGGTTACATAAAATACAATGTCTTGCGAGAAGAAAGTGGGGGGGGGGGTTGAGGGGCACAAAATCATTCCAATGAAGACATTTACCGGTAACTGTAAATGCAATCTATGGATGCCGTTATTGCACCACACGCACACAAACAGAAGCTGCCTCAAACATCTTGGCAACCCCGCCCTTGAACCCACAGCTAAAATAGATACTTGAAATCCTTTCTTAATATATGAACTTATTGCATTTAAATTAAACTTTTTTGTCCTCTCTACATTTTAATGATAAGCCAGCCTCCTATTCGTATTGACTTACCTATCTGCCTCCTTTCCATCATCAGATAAAATTTGCCAGAGAAAGGCCTGTGTATCAATACCACAACACGGAAGGAAAGCATGGTCCAGTCACATGTTATCTTTCTCACTACAATCTACAGTTCAACGCGAAAGGCACGTCACTCAATAGTCTCCATTTCAATACTTAACATCATTCCGAGGTATTATACTTCGCAGAGTATGAGGATAAAACAATGCCTCCCATTTGAAATGTCTTCTTCTGTGTGGTGCATGGCTTCAGACCTTCCGTCTTACCCATCAACCAATCATCACAGCTCTTTGACTGTTCACGTGACACGTTATCAGCCAACCAACGATCATGACTGGTTTTGAATTTCTGGTGTACTCTGCTATGGATCTTCGAGTGGAGCTGCAAAAAATTATTAAATCATAACTAGGCCTGAAGCTTCAAAAGACGGAAGTTGGGCGAGTTTATCCGATCAACTCCAAATTGCGAAGCAACGGATTACGGAAAACAAGATTTGTCATGCTACTCATGGAGAGGCTTACATTTTACACCGAGGCTAAAATGTTCAAATTGAGGCTGACATGATAGAAAGAAACTTTTTACCGGATTCTTCATACTTTTTACAAAAAAACATAGTCTATAGAGGGAAATGATTTTTACAAAGAAGAGCAACGACTTGCAAGGTGGCAAACATAAATAAGGTTAATATAACGATCAAAAGTGGAATCATTTCTGTTTTTTTAGGTAAACATAGACAGAACCAAAATTTAGCGAAGCTAAAAATTAATTACGCAGCAGTACAAGAATTGTTATGACTCTTTTAGATATTTTCTGGATCAGATAGGATGGCAATTTGAAGCGAAAAAGGATAACAAACAGCCCGACCAGCCTTTTTCTTTGACCTTTAATTCACCTCTGACCTTTATTTAGCCTTTGACCTGTACTCGACCTATGACTTGTAAATAGTCCTTTGACCTCTAATGAGTGGTGTTATATTCTTATTGAAAAATAACTATACATGTACGTAGGGATGTGTTGCTGCTTTCTATTTCCCATGGTTTATAAGTTTCGAATATGAATTTTGAACAATAAGTTCACTCACCCTTACAGCTTTCGGCAGTGACTTTAATCTGTACATGAAATTTGCAGTACCAGCAATGTAAGTCATCTTGTATGAATTCACCTTGAATCGACACTCAAGACCTTCTTCGTTGATGACGTCATGAAAAACAACATCCCTTTGCTCGCCTTTCGGACTGGAAACAAATGTGATCACATGATCAAGATGGATGCCAGGCTGGAACACATTGAAGAGGTTCTTCGCAAGTGGAGACGCGAATAAGGGTACATGGTTACATGGGGACAAAACATGGGCGCTTGCAGGTATACACATTTTTGCAAAAACTGAGCAACAAAGACTCTGAGCATAATTCAGAAATCTGAGCGTATTTCGTAAATGCTCGATTACTTCCTAAGTTTTAGCATAAAAATATGGCCTACCCGTGCCAAATCCATTTTTTGATCATAGGCGATGATTTGAGTCAGAGAGGGAATTTTTTAAAAAAAATAGGGGATTGACGTCATATACCCCTGGGCAAAATCAGAGCATATTATAGTTCCGTGAAGTATACGTTTATTAAGTTCAGCCATGTTAATAACAAATAACATGGCTTTTCTAGCCGCCCTCAACTCGCCTAAACAAGATAAAAAACTCTGCAGACCCTATTCATAGACGCTAATCCAAAAAACTGGGGTTGTACTCACAATTGGTGCAACCCTAGTATCGTAAAACAATAGAGTTTATTTTGAAATAAAGTAAACACAGTAACGACAAGACTGGGGTCTCCGAAGAAACGGCTACAATCCAAACAGAGGAGAAGGCTAAATTCTGTTCATTATTCGGTTGAGCCCTGATATATTGGGGATCCTACTTTGTTATGACTGTAGCAACTCTGCTAGGGCCTGTTCACTTAGTTTTTATTCACATTCTCACATCCAACACAAGCATCCTTAACATTAACTCGATACAGAGCAATTACTTTTCCGCTTCAACAAAAGAGGAAATTAATTCAGACCTAGTTGAGGACTAGCATGCCCCAAATTTGTCCGATTCCGATTAGGGGACACCTGCCACAAATTTTGGACACAATGCTCCCTTTTTTAAAAGAACAGTCTTTATAGAACTTTTATAAAAATAACCCTTTCTGAAAAAAATGCCGATAAAAGAATCACATAAAAAGTCACACGAATCTCTGACCTTGTGTTACCACTGATTGTCTCGTCTGCAGAAGACCCTTTATCTTCATCATCACCTTCCAATTTCTTGGGATCTTCTCTCCTGAATGCCTTTGACTTGAGAAACCGACGATTCCTGCAATAGTTAACACGAAATCGTAACGAAATTTACGACTGCATATCAATCTTAATCCTTATAGAAATTGTATCGGAAATCGTAACAAAATCGTAACGAAATTTGCGACTGCATATCAATCTAAATCCTTATAGAAATTGTAACAAAAATTCTAAAAAAATCATAACGAAATTTGCGATTGCCCATGAATACTACTTACAGGAATAAGAGGAAATATAATATTTTTCTTTCTGAAGTTATTTTTGTCTTACACTCGAAAATGACCAAAGGTGAATAGAAGGATTTCTCGAATTAACAAACCAAAGAAAGGTGTGACATTAGGACAAGATGAATAAAGAAATTCTGATTGGTGGGAACATATATGCTTATAGTTGACCCTGCGAAGACTTTCATTAAATCTGTCAAAGTGTTAGGGGTTTGGAATCTCTCATTAAAGAACGCCTTTTTGACCAGGGAAGCCACTACATTGAAAGGGATCCAGGAGGTTTTATAGAATGTTTAATAAATGTTGTTGATGGTAATTTTATTTGACTTGAATAATCAATCGACGCAATGTTGATAAAGTTTAAACAGCAAAGAAGAGTGGAAACACACTAAAGTTTGGCATTTTCGCTTTTCCACACTATTCTGTGGAAGTTTTGCAGTAAAAGAAATTTGCCTCACTGTATTTGTTGATTCACTGACTATTACATGATTATAAAATTTCTACAACTGTAATTTCTGTTTCTCTTTAAAAAATCAGGCTGTCCTGTTTCTAAAACCCGAAATTAATTTTCATAGGGAAAAATCATCGGTTCTTAGTTTCTCATATCGTCTTTGCTTGGCGTAACAATAAATTAACTGTTATCAGCAACTGCTAAATCCTTTGTGGCTTTGCGAAAAAACTCATCGAAAACATATTCTGTAAGTTCATCAAACAAAATGATACAATAAACAAGAAAAATAACACGCAAACATGCATAAATAACAATTTGTTCAGACATTTTTAGACAGCGATTAGAAATTAAGAGCTATGAAATCACGTCTTTGGTTCCGTTTTGTTTTGCTGAACTTCGTAAGTAATTTACTTAGGCCAAAATCGCTTAACCACCGTTGTGTCTACAGCCTCTTCATAAAACCGAGACAAAGCATTAACAAGCTTTCATATTCTTAGTAAGATGAAAACAGACGTGATAATCTTATTGAAAGGCATGGCTCCTTAACCTAAGGTGTCGCCTCTTAACCTCTTTATCTTGGGATGAGAACCTCTTTATCAACCGAAGGAGATTCTGGATTAAGGAGGCAGGGACAAAAATGAAAAGAGAATTATTCTAAACAAATAGTTTCCGAGTAAGATGTGTCTAAGTTAAATATAACAATGACACTTTTAAGTAAGAAAAACAATTTTAAATCTAATTCCATTGAAGCAATATATCACAACCCAATTCAACTATTATGTATGGAGGTTTTGTGGCTTCGGGAGGTGGCAATTATTGATCGTATTAAAACCTATCTTTTTTATTAAGCAATACGAAACTCTATATGAGAAAATAATTTGTAGTGGGTTGAAATGTTCCTACAAGTATAGGTTTATTGGGCCTTAACCTGATCAGGGTTTTCATTAATTTTTGAAGGCGTCTATAGGTTTGCTTAAAAGTTTGCACAGTCTTACTAAAGTGAGGGTGAAATTAGGCGGCGAAGGTTTGGTGAGTAAGTGGCACGCTTTCGCTGGTTGCTGGCTGCTAAAGAAACCCCTGCCCGATCCCATTTTTCTTTTTCAATATACGTTTTGGGTCGGCTAAGGGGGGGGGGGGGTAGTAAGGTAAAATAAGGGCCTAAAGATAATATTGCTTAAGTCGAATCGACATAAGCCCAAAAACCGGTCGTGTGGAACTATAAAGCTTGTCCCGATTTTTTCTAGACCTAAGTTTGACGTATCGGACTTTTCTGTAAGTCGAATGTCAGCTGCGACAAGGACTTGATGCTAGTCACGACTTCTTTGACCACCTAGTATAAAACCTTGCAAGCAAAGGAATAATCGAAAAAGATAGGCCTTTTTACCTGCACAGATAAATTGGCTTCTTGTAAAGATGATCTTGAACTTCAACAGAGACTTCTTTGCTGCCAACGAACTTCTCTACGTATTCAGACCATTTCTAGAGATAAAAGAATTCATTTGAGATATATACTCAAATGAGAGTACTATTTACAGTGAGTTGTCTATTATCATTAATAGTATCAACGAACCTTAAATAATACTTAAAGTTTACTTGTATGTCATAAATTGCTCAGTGTTACAGACAGGGCTGTGCTGGCTTCAATGTGTAAGGTTCGAAGTTGCAACTCTAAGTAAAATGCAACTTTGAACCGTCCTTTTCTTTGCACCAACGCACATGTATCGTTTTACGATTAGCCTTACAGTAATCAAAAAGGAAAACTAATAAACAAATAATATAGTTAATAGAGAATACTTAAAAAATATTGGATAAAAAGTAAAGAGCATGCAATATTGAAAATGTGTGTATATAAGAGTTAAGAGATTTTTATGTACTGGTATGAGATAGGCCAATTCTTTGAGTTCAGATTTGAGGACGACAATCAAAGAAGTCATTTCAGAAACGAAATCGTGGAGGCTGGCCCCAAGATATGCATGAAATACCGCATAAATTCCAATAAGTAGCAAGAAAGAGGGGTTATCTGAAACTTGATGAGGGGCTTAGTCAAGGTGTTAATTCGAGAGAAGGGCTAATTCGAGAGGGGGGAGAGGCTAATTCGAGAGAGGGATTAATTCAAGAGGGGGGCTTATTCAAGAGGGGGCTTATTCAAGAGGGGGCTTATTCAAGAGGGGGGATTATTCAAGAGGGGAGCTTACTCAAAACATGAACAACTTTACGTGAGGTTAATTTGCCGTATTAAAAACGCAGCATATAGAATTTTTTATTAATGTTTCTTCCAACTGACACGCTGTACACAGTTCTCTCATTTTTCTTGCTGCCTTAATCATGGCCTAAAATTACGGTTCCTGCACCAACATCGCTTTATTCATAGTCATAAATATTTTAACCAAGAACAGCTATGTGGAAGATATTTACAAACACTGTGGCCTAACTCATTCTCTAGTTTTCATTTAAGTGATGGCCTAAAACTGATAACGTGGTTAGCGTTGATTGTAACAAAAAGACTGAGGCATAACAACATCGGTGCATATACTTCAAATATCAAAATATTTTGAAACTGTAGAAGCTGCAATTGGGCAAGTTCTTATCAGTTTGTAAGTAACAGTGTAAATTTTCAAAATAAAACTTGATAAGAACGAGTAGTTGCGAAATTCAGATAAGTTTATGTTTTGAGTACAGATTGTAATGGTATCAGACATGAAACAGTGTTAATAAAAAGAAACAAACAAATGATAAAATCAAGCATTGCGCCATGCAAAATTTTTTACGCTTTGAGAAATATTTTAGGCAATGAAGGTGTTCAATTTTTGGCGTGTCTTGCTTTATAACAGACTGGAAATTAACTCGTTATCTAATAGACTTGTTACTGAAAATTTTCTTGCGTCTAAAGGGGATACAATGAAAAAAACTAAAGGGGATACAATGAAAAGTCCTGACATATCAAAACTTTATTTATAGGTGTTTTCTGTCTCTTTGTAAAGTAACATATTCACTAAACAAAGCCTCATTTTGACTGTTAAAAAACTTTAATGTATCTGCAAATCATGACTATGGAATTGGCTAGACCAGGAGGCCACAACCCTCATCAGGAGGCCACCGACCTCGTCAGGAGGCCACAGCCCTCATCAGAAGGCCACAACCCTCAACAGAAGGCCACAACCCTCATCAGAAGGCCACAGCCCTCATCGGAAGGCCACAGCCTTCATCGGAAGGCTACAACCCTCATCAGAAGGCCACAACCCGAGGGCAAACGAGCATACTGTTGCCAGTACAAGAATATAATTTGGTTATAATAGACCCAACCTCGTCTTGAACATCCTCGGATTGGTAATCTTCGCTGGGAAGCAGTTCGATGTTCAGCGTGCAGATAGAACGATCCTTGTGCTGTAGAACAAAGATTTACATTACATAGTTGAATGGGAATGTCTACTGGAAAAAACTTTGGAAGTTAACGAACAAACAACGTTCTTAAAGGCAGTCTGTCCCCTCCGTGATTGGCTAACTCTAACTTGAAAGCCTCGCCTTGACAAAGGGTCTTACTCTGCCTTTTTAGCATCCGACGTTAGTTATTGTAGGTGAACACGACAATCGAAACTAACTTAGACATTTTACACCAAAACAAAATTCACTACAACTCGCTCAGGGAGAGAACGCTATTGTGGTTCTTCATTCTGATTGGTTCTTCTTTTGATTAAACTAACAATGCATGAAAATCGTGGCCATGAAAAGAGATTCTGAGAACAATGGGGACATACTGCCTTTTATGGACACATTTGATTAAAATGAACCAATCAGAAACTCACAAACACAACTTTGAAGCAGTTTTCATCACTCAATATGTTTTCTGTTTTCTTCTGGTAGGTCTGCTCCTGCACAGCTCTCGCAGTAACAGTTGCTGATGGGCCGCCCGTAGCGTCGCTCAGTTTTTCACCTTTGAACATCTCGGTGACTTGAAGGGAGGTTTCGTCTGTTATAAGGTTCTGAAGCTGTATAATAGGACGATATTCTTATTACCATAAAATATTTTACAGTCAACACCAATATATCTTATTCTTACTAATATACAACTCTAATATTTAACAGTCAAATGACTAATATCAAAAACCAACTAATCTGTATTAGATGAATTTACAGTATATAATATTGTATTCTGAAGCTGTATAATAGCCAATGTTTTTAGTATTATATTTAGTATTATAAAACGTCAATATTTTACAGTCAACTAAATAATAGCAAAACCCAAACTAATCTGTATTGGATGAATTAATAGTATATAATATTGTAAAATATTAAGCTGTATATCATATCATTTGCCAGGAGAACTGTTACACTACATTTTATTTCATTATATTTTATTATAACATATTACATAATATTAAATTGTATTTCTTTTTAAATAATATTATACTCTGTAATGTCATGCTATGTTCGATCCCTTTCTACTATTAAAATATAATCACACTTTACACTTTTTCGTTTGATGTTATATACACTGACGAAAAGCTTTCGTAGTTTTCAAAATGTTTGCTTTATTTAAAATCATGTTTAGCTTTTGTACAAAAATTGCTTACGTTTCATGAAATAATACCGCATTTTATTACACTACATTGTATTCAATATTTCTCTTTATTATATGGCAATATTTCAGCATGATAATAAACAAAATTCCAGATCACGAACCTGTCTTACAATATTCTGGATCAGCCTGTCCATCGTGAATGCAATGTAAGCACTGACTCCAAACATCTCTCGAAGAGTATCTTCAAAATTGCTTGCGTCCATGTTTCCTACAAGGAATTTCAAATTGAATACAATCTTTCAAATAAGAACACATTTTCTAAGAACAGAGAAGCTCGAGTCAGAAAGAATAAAAAAACGTAAGGGCAGGCCCAGTCTCAAAAGAAAAATATGTGTTTCGAAAATTTTCTCTCATTTAATAAAACAGAGTCGATTGAATCAGCTAAATAATCGTGCTCCTAAATTGCCATGCAAAACTGTTATTTAGTGGACTTAGAAACAGTTTTGTCGCAAATAGAAGTAAAAAATCAACGTTGAAATATGAACAACATTGAGGAAACTTGAGTTCAAATTATCCGCAAATAGTCGAGCCCCAGCAAGGATTACCTGCTCTAATTAAAAAAGAATGTTAAGCGTAAGGAACTGGTTGAATTCCCGTCAAGATCTGGAAGTCTTCTGCAGTCGGTATTTATAAGAGACAATTGACAATGAGCTTGGGTTCCAAACAACTATCAAACGCAGGTGAGATTATCAGATATGGGCCTAATTATTTGATGGGGTCCTAAATATCAGACGGGGACGTAATTATCAGATGGGGGCCTATTTTAATAACTTCAGCTTGTAGATTCTTAATCCACCAGGTTTTGGTAAAAGTTGTTTACATAGAACCTTTCTTTGGCAAGTTTAACTGATTAAAAGGGTATGTCGGAAATGGCCTTATCGAACTAAATGCAGGCCCAAGTTTTTCTATATGTAAGTTCAACTCATTAGGCTTATGTGTTTATCGAATATATCCCCTTGGTTTTTGTCAGTCCTGCATAATAACAAATAACGAAAGAAATGTCGACAAATTCTCAACGCACCATCCAGAAGATTCCTAACCATCTCAAGGAATACTGGGAAATATTCCTCCACATCAGTTGTGGTTGCCTGCTTGAGGCGCAGTGCCACTGCTGTACCCTCTCTTCGGTGCATCTTATCTCTAGCCTCGTCTTCAGCTATCTTCATTGCGAGCTCGTACATTGTTAGAAGACGCTCACATAACATCTATTGGGCGAAAAGACAGACATTAGAGGTCATTAAATTTCTAAATTCCGTTTAGAAATTTGATTCGAGTTCAGAGTAAATCTATCAAAGATAAGGTTACTTAATTTTATAAACAGAATTAGTTCGAGCAAAGAGATGAAGAACAGCCTCGTTTAAAGAGCCCTCGAAAAACGGCCACTCGTTTAACATTTTCAAACAATAGTGAATCAAACAATAAATCATAACACAAAGTATTTCAGCTCACCTGGTGAAGTCTGAAGAAAACATACCAAGTATTGTTGACAAAGAACAGGTTATAAAGATCATCCTGCAAAAATGACAGAAAGTTAAACCACATCTATTTCACCGACTCAAATATCCACAACAATAAACGAATAACGAATATACGATGCGATGACTCAAACGTTCATTAACTCAAATAAATTTTGCATTCCTTTAAACATTCCCCAATACATTCCGATTTTCGTTGGAATAACTCGAATCTTCGTTGAATTGGACTGCTTTTAATACCCCTCAAAATTTTCCCCGATACGCTCGATCCCCCAGTGACAACAACATTTGCTAGCTCGAACTGCTCCGCTTTCCCCCAGGTACCTCCTGAATACATATGAGTCCCGTATCACTCCAAGTTTCATTAACTCGAACTACTTCTTCATTCCCCTGAACATTCACAAGTACGTTCAAGCCCCCAGTAGCTCAAACTTTTGTTAACTCCAACTTCTTTGCTTTCCCCTTGAACTTTCTCTAATACTTCCTTGTAAAACCCTTCTCTATTACTCGAGCATTAGTCAACAAAGAACATGTTCATCGTTTCCCAAGTGATTCGAGTTATCGGAACCATGCTGAAGTGCAAATTTCATTTTCCGCTTCGAATGAAAAGAATACTTAAGCAACATACCGTGTCACCAGTGGCAGAAAAGCTTTCTGGTTTGACTGAAAAACAAAACGAAATAAGAATTTTAAATTCATCTGTTTGAAATCAACTGTAATAAGAGAAATTCGTAGCATAACCACAAGGCTCGGAGGAAGAAACGAAACCACATGGAATGGAATCCCACCATCCCTAACTCCTAATAATTTAATTTCCGATAATTTAAAACGTGCTAACAGAACAAACCTTCTTGGTCCTTTGAACTCTCTTCATCATCACTCAGGTCAGTTCTAAAATAGATGATGAAATCTAAATTTGTATAGACAGAAAAAGTTACTTTGCTGCATGGAACAATGAAATATTTGAATCACCAGGAATTCACTCAAGCAATGTCAAAAAATAAATGGAACTATGTCAGTTGACATAGCAACGGCTATCACGATCCCTTGTGAACTGATTCACAAACATATTTGCTATAAAATGTATCACTTGGATTAAGTCAAATGGACAAACCTTGGTGCAAAAAACAGATCTGGCACAAACTGGTACAACAAATGTTTGATCTTTGTTTTGTCATCCGGATGGATCGCTGTTTGTCTCTTCATGTGGTGAATTATCAGACTGGCGGCGTCATCCAAGATTGATTTGTCCTGGAAAGATCAACCAAAGATAGAGTCAATAAAAAATGGGAAAACTTTACTACAGAAAACTTTTGTTGAAACAATGTTTGATAAAACCGTTAAACAATATGAGTAGAGTTAGGTTTCAAATAATTTGAACTTTGGCAGAGGAGTAATCAATTTGCGGCAATCAATATTTATGTACAACAATATATATTAGTATACCATGGTTTACTATGGTAAAGTATCGTAGAAACAATGGTTGATAAAACCATTAAACAATATAGTAAAGTAAAGTTTCTTGTTAATTGTGTTTTGTAAATTAATACCTTGTAAGTGTAGGTCAAATGTGGCCCAGAAACTTCGGCATTGCCATCCTCTGCCTGATCTGTTCGCTAGATTTGAGATAAAAAATAATTATCAATAAGGAATTTAAGGTAAAATGAATGATAGTTTGAAGGGTGTAAGAAACAAATGATCATGATTGATAGTGATAGCGACGATTGTAGATGATGATTAATGCTTGATAGATTGATTGAATGATTGGTGATAGAGATGAGCATGAAGAGGACTATGACGATCGATGGTTCTCAATGGTGATTGTTGTTGAATGATGATGGTGATTAATTGATTGATGATCAAAGTCAGGATCACGATGACTGATGATGCTATGATTTGCGATAGTGATTGAGTGATTGATAATACTGATTGAATGATTTATGGTAATGGATCAGATCATGACAATTGATGATGGTAGTGATTCATGAAATTGATTGAATGATTGATGATGATCAAAATCAGAATGATTGAAGATGATTGATTAAAATGGATGATCATGGTCAAACACGACGGAACAAACAACATGCAACATCTGATACAAAGTTGCAAAGTAAATTATGTGTATTGACAATACCTCTTCGAAGAGCTGCTCAATCTCGTGTATCAAGCTTTTTGACCTCATTGCTTTGTAATCCGTTTGTTTGAAGTTGATGCCTTGATGATCCAAGGACTGAAATCAACGATAAATCACTTATCGATAAAAAAGTTATGCCAAAGAAAATTAGAAAGGAAAACTGACAATGGGAAAGCAAACATGTAAAAACAGGCCCTTTTTATGACGAATCTCATGTGCTACAAGATGCCTTTCCTTTTTCTCTTTTCTGAAACGGAACAACCTATCCACTGGCTGTCTCAATAAGGTGTTACGTTTAAAGGAAGCTGAACGCGCTAGTCACCCTCCTCTGAAAAATCCCACAAAGCCTCACGAGAATCACGCTAACCCTTATCAATACCTAGCTTAGAAAATAAAGAAATTCAATGTCTATTCGCCATTACAAAGTTAAATTTTATCATCAAAGTTTGATGAAAGGGTTTTCTATGGTTCTGAACATCGGATGAGACAAAACAACAACAAAATAAAATGGTTCCATCTTTGGCGCTTTAAAGGGTTAAAAGGTCAAGATAACACCATCTTACCTTTAAATAATATTTCTCATTTTGCTCTCTCCAAATCTTATTGAACTGTTTCTGAGCCTCCTTCCACTCTTCATCTTTGGCCTTTAACCTTTTGAGCACCAATGGGACAGCTACATGTGGTGTTTTCTTCAAACCATCTATGATTTCTGCTGATTTGTCACCATAAATTCTAAATGAGAAAGGAAAAGATTTAGCAACAGACAGTAACTACAATGATAATAATAATATATAATAAATAATTTGTTTAAAGTTGGCGTACTAAATGAACGTCTAATAGCTATAAAGAAGCTAATTAAGGCCAACTATCTATAAAGAATTAGTATTAAATAAATATATGATACAATATTAAAAATGTTTATGCAACGACTGATATGGTATAGCGTTAAAATGTTTATGCAACGTTACAATATTAAACATGTTTATGGTATAATTCTCTAAATAAAACCTAACCCAGCAATATTATACACAATCTACAGTCGCATTCTATAGGGTGTGCTCTTAATACTTTTTTAAATGTTGCCAATGATTGAAGTCAAGTAACTGTTGACTTTGAGAGCTACTGTGGAAACAAGACAGAGCAGAGTCACAGCTAAATGCTTCGAAGAAGAAAGTTTGAGAGTATGTTTATCGTCAATTAAGCTGGCAAAGATTCACCCAATTAGGATACAGGATTAGGATAGATGTCACGATACCTAAAATCAATACATGCGAGAAAAAGTCTGTTGCTAATAAAAATCAAAGGTCAAATAGGACAAAAGGTCAAATTCGCTCAAAGATCAAAGGTTAATTTGGCCAAAGGTCAAAATGACTAGGGACAAGAATGGTAATTTACGTTGTACTCATTTCAGCACAGCATTAATAAATTTAAGAATAATTTATAATTTTGTCAATTTCAAACGTTTTTCTATGAAAATGAAAATTTATAGGTCCAATATATATAGATCGTTCAAGAATCCAAAGCTAGGTCTAACTTTTGTCCCAGAGTAAAACTTCAGACATATCTAAGAATACATAAATACAAGGTAAGTATTGTTTTGTAGGAAAGTGGAATACTTCCAATAAAGCTATCAGAATCTGAAAAAAACTAAAAATTATCATTTGCTCCAGTTTTATTCCAGTTTAACTAAATCTTGTTTTGCTCAATCTTAGAACTTCATCTTAAACAAATTTTGGCGTTACATATCGAGCTGTTTTGTGCTTGATTTCTTCAAGATTTTCACGACCAGGCTGGGACCCCAGAAGAACACCAGGGGATTCAGATTGTTGTTACGCTACTCTGTCCTGAGGTTTCCATTCTCAGATACCCCTCCCCCAACTCAAAATCAGTTTATACAACAAATAAGCGGCCTATGCACGCTGTTACCTGTAAATGGCCTTTTTGCAGATAACCTCTGAACTGCCACCAAGAGAACTATCCAATCGGTAGCGCTGTTGATCTTCATATGACATTCTGAATGGAGGAATCAAAGGCCAAAGATCAATGTAATTTTACGTAGAAGATGGCAAAGGTCGAAGGTCATTTTCACTCATGAAAATTCATGATCATGTTTGATTAACATCAAATTTTATAATATTGTGATTTTGGAATAAAAATGACATAAACTTAAAATCGTGAAATATTTTTATGTGCCGCAGTAGCGGAGTGGTTAAGGGGCTCTACTGCCCTTCCAGCACTCCAGGTTCGATCCCGGCTCGCGGATGGCCCCCAGTTCACTCAGCTGAAAATGAGTACCTAGTTCAAACATACTAGGGAGGTAAAAGCGGCGTGGAAAGGAACTGGCCACCCTACCACACAATGCTGTGGCCCAGGACGATGCGCCCCTAACAGCGCATTCCCCAACGTTCCATATCGAATACGGGACTAAAAAAATGTTTTCATGGGCTTCATATTTTTTAAAATTCCTGCTAGAAATTTTGGCTTAGAGCTAAGATGCGGTGAATACAGAAAACAGTGTATTATAATAGTTAATAAAATGCATTTAAACATGAATACTACAAGTAAATTGGGTTCGTAATATCCTGCAGAGATATGGCTTTGCAGAGAGAAAGATTAAGTTGGTTATAATGTACAACAAATAGACGATTTATTGATTCTAATCAGCATGCAAAAGCGATCACAAGTAATCACCTATGGTGGTAGTCATCTTTCAAAATGTAAGTTTCAGAAGTGGAGGGGGTTCAAGTAGGTTACATGCTAACAACAGGGGGGAGAAGCGATTCATCAAAAGCAAGCGTCTGTGCTTCTTGGAAAGCTTCTTCGATAGCAATGGCTTATCAAAGCCCTTGATCAGTGGATAATTTGAGCAAAGATAGGCTACAAAATCATATTCAGAAAGATAAAACTCTACTCTCAGGAACCTCGACAGCCGTAAGTAAAACACATTGCACACGCTCGAAACAGAAATAATTTAATGAGCAAAACTGGATGAAACCACGCAAGTTTCAATCAAGGCTTGATATATTTGCATGGACTCTTTAAATAAAACCTGGACCGTTCAATAAAATCGAGATCAATCGTTAACACAGAAGCAAATGTTGATTCAAGGTCACTGTTTGGGGAACAAAATTGCATGAAATATTTCTGGACCAAAAAGAAAATGAATTGAATCGTAAACGAGTTGAATCTGGATTTGATTGAATTGAATTTATACCTGTGACAATGACGTTGTGGTAATAGACAGTGCCGTTAAATAATGCCTCGTTAAAAACATACCTATCTCTATGTCAAAAAGTTCATACCTTAGACTGCCATACCTGAAAAGCTTCTTGTGGATTGCCTCTAGTGACTTGATGGCAGCGAGATTCGTCTCAATAACTATATCAAGCTGGAAAGAACAAGATAGGATGGGTCATAGCAATTTATAGTGGCTGGTATAAGTATCGGGGGGGGGGCAATTCCGGTAAAGAGGTGGGAGACTAGCAGCTCTTTTTGTGGTCTTCTGCATATGGCTTGAGGTCTCTAAATAGAGCACTCTGGCGACAAGGCTGAACAATTCCAGTAAAAATTTGGTCATCCGGCGGTTACCCTGTGTAACGATAAGCGATTCCCTGCAGATAAAACAGGTCGTTCCAGGTGGGCGGGAGACCGAATTGTCCACCCTTGGGAGTACGTCAGGGCTTAGAAGGAGGAGGAAGGTAGACCCTCTGACAGCTGTTCGGGGCCTGGGGATTGATGACGTAATTAGGATTTTGCTAGCAAGATGACAGGAAAGGAAATATGTCAAATATTTTGTGGTAAATATTTTTAGAAAACAAGAAATGAATCGTACTCCAACTTTCCAGGACATATTCAGGTAGAACCTGGTGGTCCTGGTCCACAGGCCTATTGACATGAATGGGGATGCATAAATTGTCAGCTTATTGTCGTGTTCAGATTGAAAAGAATACAAACCACCTCTCGGGACTAAACACGTTGATTGACTGGGTGAAGGAATTTAGGTTGGGAGGTGATTTTAGAGAATGGAGAATTGTGAATTTGAAGAAACTTGAAGAGGAGCTGGGAGAAATTTTGCGACCTTATAAGAAGTACACTCGAACAAAACAGCTTTGTTGACAAACCTCAAACCTCTCATCTTCACATCTACAAAGAAAAACAAATATTATAGCTACCTCCCAATTTATTCCTTAATTCTATTTCGATCAAGTATAAATAAGATTATTATCAGGGGGTCACACAAATGAAGGAAACTGTGAAAAATAGGATAACAGTTATTATGTAAAATGGTCAATAAGATTATGAAAGGAATTACCATGCAAAATATTTTTATTAAACGTTTAGTCTAGTTATATGTTTGTCGGATATCAAAACAGTAAATCAAACAGCAGGTCGGATTTTCCGAGCAGGAAAACAATCGAAACATTTGTTTGTTAAACAGCGCTTCATCCACATAGTTACTCTTTCAGAAAGCTACCGAATCAAACACTTAGTGTCTAAACCATTTGTTTGTCAAACACCGATTCACATACCAAGTTATTCATTCGGGAGGTTATTGAATCAACCAGTACGTTTTTCAAACAGCTCGCTGTTTAAGTATGTAAACTATTAAACTATTTGTTTGGCAAACAGTGAGTAGTCCTTGTAGTCATTCTAACAGAAAGTAGGTGAACCAAACGTTTTTTCAAACGGTAACTAGTTTAAGAATACATAATGACAAACTATTTGTATAGAAAACAGCAAGCAAGCTTTTCCATAAGAAAGATAGGCAACGAAACAGTATGTTTTTCAAACTTTAAATTGTTTAAGAACACAAATTGAAAAACCATTTGCATAGCAAACAGGTAGAAAGCAATTCTTTTTAAAAAGTTAGTTAACTAGACAGTACGTTTTTCAAACGACCAATTGTTTAGGAATGCAAACAGTCAAACCATTTGTATAACAAACAGCGTGTAAGAAATTTCATAAGAAAGATAGTGAACTAAACCGTACGATTTCAAACTGTTTATAAATGAAAATAGTTAGACTATCAGTGTAGCAAACAGCGAGTTAGAATTTGTATCAGATAGTTTGTGAACCAAACGTTTCTTTTGTCAAACGGTAACTTGTTTACACTAGTAAACTGTTTAAACGTTTGTATAGAAAATAAGACAGCATTTCCATTACAAGTTATATAGTGAACTAAACATTCTTTTCATCAAACGGTAACCTGTTTATGTTAGCAAACAGTCGAACCGTAGACGAGAAATTAAAAACCACAATACGTTCAAAAGACCAGTGGAATTGCAGTAAACCATATACAATGTTTAATATGCGAACCAAAACACGGTCTTACTTGTAAATATACTCCTCATATTGCGTCTTCCTTGTGCCTGGAAACTGGGTGTCTTCTGACCAAGAAGGCAATGAGACCCAAACGTCGTTCAAGACTTCCCTGCATAATTGGCTTCTGCCTGTGCACTTAGGTTGGTTGTAACTCTGGGGCAGAGCTCTGTAACTTGCCCCGCTGCGTTTGCAAGTGGCATAATCTTCAATGGAATCAAATTAATCTGGTTTAGAATCCAACCAAGATAAGATGGTTAGCCAGGTACATCAAAGTTCGATACAGAAGAAACTTAAACAGCAATTTACAAATGTTTAACTCGTTTTACTGTTAAGAACGTTAAAAAATGGAAATCTAACAGGGCCCTATATAGTGCATAGAAAAGGGGGCAGCTCCTATTGCTTTGCCAGAGTTGGGCATTTGGAGTCACTGACAGGTTGTTGTAGAGGGTTGTTGTGGGGTGTAGTGGGGCTTAAGAGAAGTGTAAAGGGAGTGTAGTGGGGTTAAAAAGACTTGTAGTTTAGAGATACAGAACAATAGTAAAGGGCATAGGGAAGTTTTGGTTGGGGTGCAGTGGGGGTGAAGAGAGGCTGTGATGGGGTGTAGTTGAGGGGTTGTTGAGGGGTTGTAGTGGGGTGAAGTGGGTGTAAAAGAGGTTGTAGCTTAGGGATGTAGAAAGTAGCAAAAGGAGCCTACAGAAATTTTGGTTGAGGTAAAGGGGAGCTCTGGCTTGGGGTATAGTTGAGGGTGTAGTGGAAGTGCAGTAGGGTAACAAGGGATTGTAGTTTAGGGATAAAGGAAGATAGTGAAAGAAGCATAGAGAAAAGTGCTATTCGGGTATAATGGCGGTGTAGAGGAGTTTTGATGGGGATGTGGTGCGGGTAATTGAGGGGTCTAGTTTAGGGTTGTAGAAAATGATTTGGCTGTTGGCTTAAGGGGTCATCGTAGAGGTATCAAAGGGTTGTGTAAACAAAAACAGAACAAGTACCTAGTTCCAGATGGGCCAATTCTCCACCGGTTCCTCTGTCTTTGAATCCGGACATCGGTTCCATTGGCTGATTCTCTTTGTAGCCAAGAAAAGTTTTGAACCAAGTAAAAAGGTCCGGAAATTTCCTGCAAGAATGAATTTAGTTCATTTTTTGACAAGAAAATGTGAAATGAATCTATGTTTACAGAAGAGACAAAAGCAATTTACAGTAATGTAAAGATTCTTCAGGGTTTGTCTTAAACTTCGAGAAACATCCATGGTGAAATTTGAAAGGAGGTTATATCCCTCAGAAAGAGGATAGTGCTCGTATCAATAATTATCCTAACAAATTTGTGACAAATGACCCTAATAGGGAAGTTCAAAGACACAATGTCCCAACGAACTGCAGTGGTCACCTTGAGTTCCATTGGCTGGATTAATCGACAACGAAGAGCTAGTTCTGAGCGTTAACCAATTAAAAACATTCTGCAGATAATTTGTTAACGAAAGCGATCATCTGTCGGGATATCATGCTTTAAGAAACAAAAATTTAAAAATCTTTATGTCTTTCGTTCGAAAATTCTGTTTATTTTGTAGACAAACAAAGCCCATTAATGGAAGAGACAAACCCCCTTTTCTTGTCACCAAACATCGTGTTTAATACAGAAATAATGTGTTCAATTACGGGGGATAGGTCTGAAAATTATGAAAAACAAGCATACGTACCCAAGGAAGTTAGTCATGAGCTGAACAAGCTCTAGCCTCGAAACCACTTCCTGGTTGAACAATGCGAGGCAGCGAAGGAAATTCTCATACACCTCCTGACTCTTCAAGGCCTTGCGTACCTATGGCAACAAAGCGCTATAACTTGAAAACGAGACAAGGACTTGACAGACAGAATGAGACAGAAAACGTCACGATATCTTAATTCATTTGCGTTCTCCTTTAACGTAGACGCGTAGATGGAAATAGTTACTTTATTTATCTGAATAGCGGTATCGTGTAACCAGAGCCTTGCAGTCTTCATTCTCGATGACATTTAATTCGGGCCTAAAGGTTACGTCAGCTAAATCTCTACCTAAATCAAAGTAAGCCATTGAAAAAAGGCTTTTTAATGCAAACGAAATGTTTCTGTGCAAACAGGACTGATCCTAATAAATGTCCTTGCAAAAGTGTGAAAAAATTGTTTCTTAGATAAAAAAGAATATTAATTGACTCAGTATGCATACAGTACCTTGTTAAAGAAAGCAAATTCGCTAAAGGAGCCATGCTTCACAGCCTCTGCGAGGGAGACATCCTTCAGGGCAGATCGGTGCTTCTTCTGTAACAAAATCGAAATTCCTCAGCCTCAGAATGGATAACTAAGCCTCGATTACAAGAAACGTGTTATTTCCTCGCGTCAGACATAAGGTCTCTTTTTGTCTTTAAAACAGTGGCATCAAATCGACTCGTAACCAAATCTGACTCGAAGTACTAAATTGATTGACTCGTTACTTAGGTAAATGAAAGAACCAGAGCAATATACTTAGGCGAAAAAGGAGGTATGAAACTGACAAAATGACACAATGAAATCTTTGTGTGAATGAAGAAAAGGTCACTGTAGCAGGCTGCTCGACGGGCTCCAAGGAGTTTTTGCGGCGAAAAGTCGTAAATCAGTGAAGCCTTCGCTGATTTACGTGTATTTATTGTTGTTTATTCTCGGCGTATTGCGGTGTTTCATATTTGCTACAATGAAATCCTTCTCAGCTTTCTATGAATTTTTCAAGCAAAACAAGATAAAATTGTCACCTTTGTAGGCATTTTCTCTGAGCCATCCTTAGAATCTGTGTCCATTGGTTCGGGTTTTAGGGTTGGTGTCAGTGGAGCTGAGGTGATCTTTTTTGTTTGTTGTTTCTGTTTCACCATACCTGACGTCACTAGAAAGAAACAGAGAGGTGATCGCTTGCAAAGTGTGAATGTAGGAGGAATGGGCCTAGCAAAGTATCGTGACGTCATTCCAAAAGCTACCAAGACAGTTTTGGAATTACACATCGTAGAGCTAGGTACAATCCAATGGCTTTGGCCTAGCATGTCATTAAGCATTTCAAATTTTCGAACCTAGATAGCGAAAGTCGTAATACGAGAATTTCGAGACAGCAGGTATCAGCTGTGTTGATATTTATTGTATGGTAAGATAAACTCGACTTACTTGAGATCTTTTTGCTCGGAGGCATGTATGATGATGAAGAATTGTCCCTCATTGGCACAGCTTGTGATATGCTCAGGTTAGTGGATCCACTTGCATCTGGGAGAAACTGGCTGAACTCTTGGAGTAGATCTTCTTGGTTCTGAAACAGCTTTGCCACTTGTTGGTAAACCTACGAAAAAGAAAGCAGATACTGTCAATCAACTAGTTATTGTTAATCAATCCACTACTGTCAATCAATAAAGTTGCTGTCAATCAATCCACTACTGTCAATCAATGAAGTTGCTGTCAATCAATTCGCTAGTATCAATCAATCAAGTTGCAGCAAAACAATAAGTAACTGTCAATCAATCGACTACTGTTAATTAAAAACCCTTTACTGTCGATCAATTCGTTACTACCAATCAATCATTTATTATCTAACAATCAAAGACTGTCAAATCTATATGAACTAAACACAGTTGTTCAATAAATGCCATCCAAAATCTACCAATTGTACACAGGTTGTTACCCTGACAAATGTACAATTGTACACAGGCAAAAACATTCTTAATCGGGTGAATTTCTAGTTCACCGCCCTTCCCCCAAACAAGGCCTGCCATGTGACGGCCTAAGTGCCAACGCTCATCTGTCAGTCAATCAGATCTGTCAATCATTAAAGGCACTTTGTTCCGACGCATTTCGATGGCCATCTAAATTTCCGATTGGTTGGACTATACAATAGACCTATTGTTACGTATCCAATCGGAAACTTATGACTAATTCTCAACCCCTTTTGCGCTGCAGAGCCTATTACGGAGATGGAGACGGGGTAAGGTGCATTTAATCGTATTTAAAAGCCAAGCTTCTTGTGGTAGAAATCTATATAATAAATTGAGATTGACATGTTCCAAAAGTCATTCACGTACCTCATTTGCCAATTTTCCTTCTTTAGAAAACACCTGTGGATTAATAATTAATGCAAAATAAGTGAAAAGGCAAGGACAAAAACTCATAAAAAAAGAAAAGTACTATTTTTTGGCAAAAAACAGTAATTGTTAACGTCTTTGGCAAAAAACAGTAACTGCTAACGTCTTTGGTAAACAGCAGTTATTGCTAAGGATGTATCTTGTGAAATGACTTTTTCAAACACCTGTCAACAGAGAACGAAAGACAAGAACCACCACAAAACACAGTCCTAATAGTTTCATGGTCATAATAGCAAAAGCTACCCAAAACATTAGCCATGTACCTCTTGATCTGAAAGTGCACGCCCAAAATTGTCCAGGGCATTCTGTGAAGAAAGGAGACAAAATATTTACCATGAAATGATGATAAAAGTTATAGAATGTTGAAATTATTCAAGTCATTTGTCAGAAAAAGTACTTCTGATAATCTTCAAACACGGCTGAATTGACCTTTACACAGTGAATAGACATTTTGAGCTCTGGCCTTTGAACTCTGGCCTTTGAGCCTTTGAACTCTGGCCTTTGAAATCTGGTCTTTGAACTAACCTTCCACCCTTTATGTTAAAAACCAGACTTGGAACAATTCACCCGGGATAACCTTAGGCAAATCACATTCTGAAACCTTAAAACAGAAAGTGATTTTGTCGAAGAATCAAAGCTCCATTCCCTTTAAAATTTTTAAATATTCCATTTTAATAAGAAATGAATTTTTGGAGCTAGTTTTTTGTTAGACACAAATGGTATTTTACAGTATATGACCAGCAATGTATCTGCATGAGATTATGGTCAGAGAAGTTAAAATCGAATTCTAACCTCCTTGATATTTTTCTGTTCGGTCTGATAATTGTTCAGAATATCCAAAAACTTTTGGTAAACCTCTGGCTGGCCTTGGAAGCGATTCTGCAAAAGAAAAGTTTTTTATGACTTCAAGGCGATAAACAAAGACAGCAAAATACGCACAAGTTTTTCAAAAGATTTTAAAACCATGTGTAAGAAATAAGAACCGCAGGATAGGCTGTCCGCCAGATTCTGTGAATCTTGCAATTAGTATAGATACAAATATAAAATTCAGAAACAACGTAAAACGGCGACGAGAATCCAATGTAATTCAAAATAAATTAAATAAAACGAATACTAATATTTCTCCCCGGCATACAGGGCTTAACAAAACCATAATTCATTTCTAGGGCCACTTGTGGTCCAGACAGGCCTAAAGGCATTCACAGTTTTGCGGCCAAAATATTGAAATAGTCTCGCTAGAGAACACATTATTCAAATCTGTACATCTAGAATGAACATATACCAAAAATTTTACCCAGAAGGCGATTCTTAAAAGCGCAAAATACTTGCTACGGCAAAGAGATATCTTCTCAAAGACATCGTAAAATTGGACACGAATCTGACAATTTTAACTATGTCGACTTTCATCAAGACTACATCATAACACAGTACAATAATAACATTACAAATTATCAAGATTAATATTGATGGATAATATTATTATAATAATTATATAAACCCACCTTTATCTTTGTCACATAGTTGATAGCATGGTGCTGGGCCTAAAAACAATGTTTCTTCATTACAGACATACGTCAGAAGTATCAATTCATTTACAGTCAGACTACCAGACAACGAGAAAAAGCCTTGAGGCCAATGACAAACAACAGGAGACAAAGTGTGCACAAGTAAGCTGGTTTTGGCTGAAACAATGGCGTGAGAACAAAACAATGGAAACAAAGATAGCTTTGTTAGGTAACGTAAAATTGTGTGTGAGTTTGGGCTTTGTGGCTTAGCTATTAAGAAATTGCTACGGTCGATGGTCCACAAATATCACTGTTTACTATAGGCCTAACAATAAATACGAAAATTTCCTCTAATATCTACCTTGTTTACCTGTGTCTGTGACTGCCCACTACCACTGCTTGCACCTGGGGATGACAGTCCCTGTCCGCTTTGCGACTGTTGCTGCGATGGTGCTTGCTGAGACTGTGACTGCTGTTGTTGCTGTTTAGGCACTGATTGCTGAGATGACGGCTGTGAAGGAGCACTTGAATTTGCAGATGGTGTTGATTGTTGTTGTTGTTGCTGATGCTGTGAGAATGATGATGATTGACCAGCGGCGGCATTCTGTGGCGCATGCGGCTAGAAGTGAACAGAGAACCTTACTGTAAATGATATCAGACATATGGCCTAAAACATCTCCACATAAATGGGACCAAACACCTACCTTCGCAAGAATTTTAAGGGCTATATCTAAGAAAACTGACAAGCCATTCTCAAATTTTGCTAAACCTAGATCTGTTTTGTTAATAGAAGTTCAGCCAGAAACAATTCTAAATACAGTGATACTCTAAGCTAAACATGTTCTTTAAATTTTCGATTTTGTAAAATTTTTTTCGATTTTTACCAACGCATGCAGCAAGTGAAAATGTCAACAGAAATTTTGCATTCTTAAAAAGAATTCACGACACAGCATTAGTAAGTAAAGCACTAGTCCAAAAATAAAGTACATATTCACAATATTTCTTTACAATCTTTCTGTGTTGAAATTCAAAACAAGTTCTCAATGAAATTTAGAAGCTCTCGTAAGTGAAAAATCGAAATTACCAAATTTCTTACTGAAAATCTTTCCCAACTGAAATTAACAGTCTTTATATCACGAAATTAAGAAACCCTTGGATTTCGTAAAGAGATTTTTCAACATCAGTTTTAACATAAGAATCCTTTAATGGAAATTAGTTTTAACATAAAAACATTTAAAATTTTCCGTCTCTAACAAAATTTAGAGCCTTTTCAACTTATCTGTTCTGAAGGTTAGAACCTTTCCTTGCAAACATTGAACGCCTTTAAGGCTCTTGCGTAATTGCCATGCTTAGCGGCTGCTATCTTGAGAAATTGATTGTGTTTTCTATTTTATTGCAGTACAATATTAGGCCGGTTTTGAAAATTTGGTCGCAAAGCATGCTGGTTACGCAAGAGCCTTTAAAGATTTGCCAGAATGCCTCGGAACATAAGAACAACAACGATAGATTCTGACAAATTCCAAGGTCTTACCTTGGAAGCCTGGGATGGCAGAGTCGGCGTCACGCTTGGAATTATGGTCTGGACATTGTTGGTCCCAGGCCCATGAAAGCTGATTGTGTTTGAGTCTCCGTCAGTGACTTCTATTTTGTAACCAGGGGGTAAGAACGTGTTGAAGCCAACGATTAATTCCGGGTGTCCCTTAAACAGGGTTGATACGCGACTTATGACTCCAGGTGTATCGATTCTATAAACAAGAGATAAAAGCATTGGTGCCTACAGAAATTCAATGTTGGGAAAGGGTTTGCTTTCACGGAGGAGGCAGTACCAGCAGCTCACTTCCATTTCGTTGTTAAGAAAAATGTTCTTGAAAAATGAAATACAAAATATTGAATAAAATAATAAAAGATGATTAGAATAAAAATAGTTCATACGTTTGGGATTTGAATTCTTTCATTATGTCAAGAAACTCGTTATACACTTGGGGCTGCGTCCCGAATTGGAGTTTCACTTGATCTAAGTAGGACAAGGCGTCTTCGACCTTTGGGAATAGAAATAAATTGTTAAAATTTGTTTTTATACAAAAATCTCTACACACTATTATAAAAATTATACATTTGATAAGAATATTTGGGGTTGAAAGTTGTGAAATTTAAAGATCTATTAAGAATAATTACCAGGTTCAAATTTCATAAAAATTTGTTTGACTTTTTATTTGTTCGAGTTTGTTGAGAAAAGAAGGCAAAAACATGAATTTTACAAAAAAGAGTTTGAGGAGCAGTCATCAAGTTTGTTTTGTGTTTTGTATTTCCAACAATTTTTTTGCGTTATAGAATTTGAAAATTGCTTTGAAAAAAGCAAACATTTTACAACATACTAAAAGTTTTTTCGTCTGACACTCATCAGAGCATAAAACGTCAGAATAAGGGTCCGAAAGAACAAGATAAAAAATATATACCCAGTTGTGGATCGAAATAGGCCGATCAGAAAAACGCAAGCACAAGACCGGTATAGTTGACCAATCAGTGGCGCGAGCCTAAAGAAAATTACCACTGGAGTCCAAGAGAGAAAACGAACTCCTTTTGTCTACACAATGGTGTTTTGTATTTCGTTTACTACATTTTTTTTGTAAAAAAGAAACACAGTAACAAGGACTTGAACTTTCTTTCTCGAATCTTACCAAATTCACATGTTAAGAATGATTTCACATCATTTTAGGCTCATAATCACATATTTTTAAGAATATGAAACTCAGTGAAAATTATTCTTATAAAAAGTGTGTTTGTGAATATAAAAGGTTTCAAGGTTTGCGTGAAGTAGAGGCATACAAAATTTTGAGGATTGTTTCAAGATGATAGTGTGGCTGCAAGGTAGAAAGCTTGATTTGGGAAGGCTGTTTCAATCTGCTAGAAAGACTGTTTATGTCTGAAAAGCATTGTCTGCTTGAGAGAGGATAGGGTAGGAATTATGTGGGCTATCTGCAAGTATTAAGAGCACACCAGAAAAGAGCTCCTGTATTTTTTCAAATAATTTTTTGGTATGATAAACAGGGAGCTAAATTGGGATGTGAGCTGAATAAATTCTAAGCATCAGCCAGCTCATTGATAACAAGCCCATCTTGATATACAGTTTTTCTAACTTCTAAACACAGTAAAGTAGCACACAGGTATAAACAATGTAAACAAAGATTGTCTTCATTCTCGCAAAATAATGAAGTCAAAAAACCTGGAATAAACTCACCTTTAACCTTTGAAAGTGTTGCTGACCTGCAACCTGTGAACTAACAGCACCTTGGCCATGGGGGAACGGAGTCTAGCAAAAGAAGAACATCAGAACATGAAAAACAAGCATTTTGTTGCCATAAGATACAGAAATCTGGTGAAATATATACATGAAATAACTATTTGGGACTTGTTTATCAAAATATCGATATTTCACTAAGGAAGGAGAGATAATCATCAAGATCTGATACCAGCAATGGCAATAATGGTGGCCAATGATTTGCTCAAAGGTCAAATTTTTGCTAAAGTAACTATCTGATGAAAGCAGGTCTGGCCGTAAGACTTTTAACAGGGGAGCAGTAAACAGCTCTCCTAGTAGTAGTCAGGTGAGCTATAAGAATAGAAACAAAGGAAAAATTGATTTCAAGGAGAGCAAATTTGCTTTTTAGAACAATTTAGGAGAGCAATCTCTAGCTCCCCTCCAGCGTTTGAGGAGAGCCTGGAAGGGAGCAAGAGCTATGGCTCTCCTCAAATGGCCAGGCCTGTGAAAGTGAATTTTTCCTAAATAATATATACAAAACAAGAAGCTTTCAAACTACTCTGAGTCGACTGCAAGGACAACTAAGCTTTACTGTGAACTGATAAATGAAAAATTAGTTTTAGAGGTGAAATTTTACCTGCACATGGACAGTTTGCTGTGGTGGATGTGGGTGCATTCCAGGAGCTGAAGATTGGCCTCCTTGTGTGCCTCTGGAAACAAGATTCAATATGTCAACAGCATTAGAAATGGATTTTGTGCAAAATTATTGATATAATCATGTTTGAAAACAAACAGGCTAGCAACATCAGAAAAGGGAATTGTAAGAAAAAGATTAAAGAAAAGAGAGACAATGGTGCAATTAAATTTGAATAGAAACAAACTGCTGGAAAAAGAAAAAGGAACAGGCAAAGAGAGAAGATAAATATATGGAAGGATTAAGAAATAAAAGAATGAAGAGGGAAAAGAAAGAGAAAAGTTGAGAGATAAATGAAAAAATAACATTACAAATTGTAATATAAACATGAGTTAACAAAAAGGCAGTCTTGACAAGTTTTATCACTCTTTGCAAAATTTGACTATGCTGTCAATGAAAACCTTGGTCCTTATTGTTACTCCAAGTTTCTAGACCAATAATTATGCAAAATATTCTTATTTTATTAACTAAACTGATAGTTGCGATGTTTTTAAACTTAAAACTGCTGATTCTCTGACCATTCTTCTAGGCAGTTCAAGTCTTTAGGTCATATTTTGAAATAATGGGAAACGTTCTTAGAGGTTCAAAACAATGGCAGACAACTGGAGAAAAGGTGGGCATTCCGCCCTCTCCCCTGAGATTTTTAAGACAATGGTCTCTTGTTAAAAATTAATAGACAAATGTGACATAATCTTATCAAAACAATACACTTTTCAAATATTTGACCAAGTGGCCATATTTGTTTCAAAACCAAACTGAAGATATATATGTATCTCTTCAAAAATTCACATTTCCTGACATAGTTTTTAAGTTCTGTTTAATTCTAATTTTGGATTCTTAAGCAAATGTCTCCCTTTTTATTCACTATCTACAAGGTATTTAAGATAACTTACCCTGGCCCGCTTGGAAGATGAGCCACTGAAAATGGTGGCCTTGTGACTTCTGATACCCTTTCAAAATGGTGTCCCCGGTTGACAGGTGCACCAGGAGCCAAGTGACTAAACTGGGGTGCAGCTCTCCTACTACCAGGATAGACATTTTCTTGATCCTCAGGGTGTGAGCGCTTCATGGTTACAAACAATTACTTCAGAACTCGGAACCTGAAACAGAAAATAAACAATTTGAAGACACCAGCAAGACTGAGCTATTCTATCAAAACTATCAGCTACAATTAAAGTTTAAATATTTCTAAGTAGAAGAGTTTATAGACAAAAATTTGACTGAAATCTTCAATCTTTGAGACAATTTGATGTTTTATGCAGAAATCAAGCTATCAACTATTTTCTAATATTTTAATTTGTGCCTCTAGAAAGTTAAAATCAGATCCAAATTTTAACAAACTTTCTTTTAACACCTAAAAACAAAATAATCCCTTGAAAACTATCATGAACTGTTCAGATTTTTGTTTAAACTAAATCGATTTTCAGCGCAAAATAACATAAAATGCCAATCATGTAAAATGTTTCTTATACATAAAAAAATCAAAGGGTTGTTCATAAAAATAACGAAATAAATGGTTTTGCTTAAAAAATTAAGATATTAAATAAAAAATGTGGAATTGTTGGTAATATAACACGCCTAGCTTTTCTTATAGATTTTGATCCGTAGTATGGTAATCACAAAACGGGGAAGTCAAAACATCGCGAAAAGGATTACAACTTACTACAATAATTTCATTCAAAATTAACGAGAATGCAAGGTTTTATGAAACCTTTACCGAGATATCAATGGAAACTTATGAAGGAGATCATGTGAATCACGTCACGAAGGGCTGGCATAAGTTTGCTCCAGAGGCCCCTTGCAAAACGGGGACTTTTCGGAGAAGCTCGTGATTTTTATTGTCAAGGCTTCGTGATAAATAACCAAGATAGGCAAGCTCACAATTATAAAATAAAGTTGACTTATCTGATACTGCATTGCTCATTTTTCGTGACGAAAACAAAACCCCAACATTCAAATTGTGAAGCGTTCGTTAATCAGAAGGACCCGCAAAAACATTAGGGGAAAAGGAAGGAAAAGAAGTAGCACTCATTGACGATTTTAGGCCTATTTTCATTCAAAGTTATATAAAAAGTAGCTTTTAACAATTAAGCAACACCACCATAACATTTTACAATAACCAGCTCACCTATAACTTATGATTTGCGTTTAAAATAGACGTTTCTGGCGACAAATTTGCTAAAGGCGGCATAAAATTTCATATCGTAGGCCGGTAACTAAAAGTCAGCTCTTTGCAATCGGAATACTAAACTATCAAAAAATTAATGTACAAAAAAGATAATAAAATTATTTTATATGATTTTCAAGGTAATTTCTTCAGTAGATTTTACGATGCAAATGGATATCGACAATCAAGTTGTGTACTCACAGACTTTGTTTCCTTACGACGCCATCTTAGTTAGAAATTGGGGAAGACATCAAAAACAGTGTTTCAAAAGGCGGTTAGCTTTCAAAAATGGGAATCCCCAAATTACTGTCTGGGGCCTCGCGCCCAGCTTGATCCCTGAAGCCTACAGCCTCGGCCTCTAGCCGCCGATCTTTGTTCCAGTAGCCGTCTGGCCGCCAAAATGGCGGAAGAGACACAAACCTTTAAAATTTATTCGATACAGAAAGATTATTGAGATGATGGTCCTTGAAATTTTCTGGAACCTTCAAAATTTGATTTAAATTTTCAGTGGCTTTTTTTTAAATTTCGAGATCAATTCAAAACCAAATCTTAAAAATGTTTTAAAATTCAAAATTTTGTTTTTGATTTAAAGAAACCCACTAGTTTAAAGTGTTCCATATTTTTCAGTGAAAATATACGCACCTTTGCTTAAAAATATTGGTGTATAGAACAGGATGGTTCGAGGTTGCCATTCCGAGTTCACGCTTAATGCAATCATTAGGCAACTGATCATTCACTTTTATTTTAAATCGCTGCAATGGATTTCGAGGTATGTACTCCCCTGTGTCCCCCCCTCTCGAACTCTAAAATACACTTTACTGTATGTTCTACCTCCTCCTTGCGTTCGGTTCACGCAAAGACAGCCTCGGGTACACTTCTTTTTATTGATAAGAAACTGGTTTATAGAATAGTGCTAGGACGGCAAAAAATTCTAGAATTTTTAGCACTAGACTCGAGAATATTAAGAAAGTTTAAAATTTCCATTTTTGAAAGATGATACTTTCCTGACGATCTCAACTTTAAAACAAGAAAGTATTTTGAGATCTCGAAATTAGAAACCAACTAAAAGACTTTTAGAACTAAAGCGTAAACATTTGGATGCCAAGCTAAGAAGCCTTTCGTACTTAATGCCGATCAAAATTTCTTATTCAAAAAATTGTATCCATTGTTTCTTCTTCGCATCGACACATGTACCCTGGGTTCCAGAGCGTCAGTGTCGAGGAAATAGGGGGTTGCGGGAGATGGCGGAGGAGGAGAGAAGAGAGGCTCGACGCCCTGTTTCCTATTTCCAGACACTGACGCTCTGGAACCCAGGGTACGACATATGAAGAGTATGACAGAACCCAAAGAGTATATTTTCTCGCATGGACTATAATTTAGAAATAAGCAAGAGATTTATAAAAAGGACTATAGCAACACAAAAAAAGCAAATCATTCTTACGTTAAACATTTGATATGCAAAGCTCGTTTATATACAAGAATAAAGTTTTAAATGCAGCATTGCTTTGCGATTGCAGCAAATGGTGAATTATCATCATTGAAAAGAGAACAACAAGGGGGTTGATTTGTTCTGATAGGGGTTTGGGGTTCTTGAACGGGCGGGTTATATACTTAATGGGGGTTTATAGTGCTCATCTTTGAAAGCTGCTGGTCCCTTCTATCTGGGAGGGGTAAGTCTCATAGGGGGAGAGTGGTAAACGGTCGAAGGTCCATTTTTCTAGATTCTAAACACTATGCCTAAACAGCAAAACATATTGTATCCGTGGACATATTGAGTAAGGAGATTGGAAACTAGCAACTTTGTTGACATCATAAAAATACGTTTCTATTCTACGATAAGCTGTACAAAAATACGATATGAAAGGTACAAATGGACTCTGTTTGAGTAACTGGAAACTAAAAATACAGAATTTGCTGAAATTAAGAAAATACTCTAATAAAATTGTCTAACCCACCTTAGATATACGAAAAATTGTACACAATTTTGATTAAAAATTTTATACGTACTTCTATAGCCAAATATTCGAAACAGTAATCTCTAATTGCTAATAATTTCAAACCGATTTTCTTTTAGCCTGATACCAACTATAACTAAAAATTTATGAAAAGCGGATTTCTTGCACAAAAATTCAAGTTAAAGTCCGTCGATGCAAAGCTCCAATCCAACGATCAAAATCGCATTCAACCCCCTGGAAGCATGTGAAATGATTTTAAAGGGATAGCTTTCATCGGACCCCAGATGCTTTTCTGGTTCGAATTTTTGAACGAAAACAATGGAAAAATCTCCAAGAAGCCGTTTACATAAAAAAATTAAATTGCGTTTAGTCAAACACGGACTAAGATTTCAACACGGGCCGAGATTTCAACAAGGGCTGACTTTTCAAAACGGGCTGAGTTTTCAACATGGGCCGAGAGTTCAACACGGGCTGAGTTTTCAACACGAGTTTAGAATTTTATATAAAAGGCTTGAAAGCGTTGAATAGCTGGAAATGTTTACTTTATTTTCGACAAGTAACCTCAAAACGTTTTGCGATTTGCCGTGGAAACAAATACTAAAATTAGCAAAGGATTAAATTCTCAGCCCGTGTTGAACTCAACGCGGGTTGAAATTTCCCATGTAAGTGGCTTTTAAAACGATGCAATCTATTTAAGCAGTTCACTCTCTGCCTTCAGGGTTTTATCGACAACATTTCTGCCTCAATTTCTGAAAAGCTCGGTCGCTGCAAATGATCATATAACCAACATTTTTTCATAACTTCGTAAATTTTACCAGGGGTTCCGCTTGGCATCGGCATTCGGTATCCCGTTTCGATCATTTCTCGAGTTCTCTGCAAAAATGAAAGCAATACATCAATAAACTTCCGAAATCTTCCTCAGTTCGCGATGACAAAAAGTTATGAAATTTTATGCCGCCTTTAGCAAATTTGTCGCCAGAAACGTCTATTTTAAACGCAAATCATAAGTTATAGGTGAGCTGGTTATTGTAAAATGTCATGGTGGTGTTGCTTAATTGTTAAAAGCTACTTTTTAGATAACTTTGAATGAAAATAGGCCTAAAATCGTCAATGAGTGCTACTTCTTTTCCTTCCTTTTCCCCTAATGTTTTTGCGGGTCCTTCTGATTAACGAACGCTTCACAATTTGAATGTTGGGGTTTTGTTTTCGTCACGAAGAATGAGCAATGCAGTATCAGATAAGTCAACTTTATTTTATTATTGTAAGCTTGCCCATCTTGGTTATTTATCACGAAGCCTTGACAATATAAATCACGAGCTTCTCCGAAAAGTCCCCGTTTTGCAAGGGGCCTCTGGAGCAAACTTATGCCAGCCCTTCGTGACGTGATTCACATGATCTCCTTCATAAGTTTCCATTGATATCTCGGTAAAGGTTTCATAAAACCTTGCATTCTCGTTAATTTTGAATGAAATTATTGTAATAAGTTGTAATCCTTTTCGCGATGTTTTGACTTCCCCGTTTTGTGATTACCATACTACGGATCAAAATCTATAAGAAAAGCTAGGCGTGTTATATTACCAACAATTCCACATTGTACTGTGTTGCATTGTATTGTATTATATTTTATTGTATTGTATTGTATTGTGTTGCATTGTACTGTATTAAGTTGCATTGTATTGTATTGTATTGTATTGTATTGTATTGCATTGCATTGTATTGCATTGTATTGTATTCTATATATCGATGCTCTATCATATTGCATTCAAAAATCATTGTATAAAATTGTGTTGTTATTGCATTGCATTGCATTGCATTGCATTGCATTGTATTGTATTGTATTGTATTGTATTGTATTGTATTGTATTGTATTGCATTGCATTGTATTACTTTGTATTGCTTTATGTTGTTTGTATAGTACTGTTTTGTATTATATTGTATTGTATTGCATTGCATTATTTTGTATTGCTTTATGTTGTTTGTATTGTACTGTTTTGTTTTATATTGTATTGTATTGCATTGCATTGTATTGTATTTTACTGTATTGTATTATTTTGTATTGCTTTATGTTGTTTGTATAGTACTGTTTTGTATTATATTGTATTGTATTGTATTGCATTGCATTGCATTGTATTGCATTGCATTGCATTGCATTGCATTGCATTGTATTATTTTGTATTGCTTTATGTTGTTTGTATTGTTCTGTTTTGTATTATATTGTATTGTATTATTTTGTATTGCTTTATGTTGTTTGTATAGTACTGTTTTGTATTATATTGTATTGTATTGTATTGCATTGCATTGCATTGTATTGCATTGCATTGCATTGCATTGCATTGCATTGTATTATTTTGTATTGCTTTATGTTGTTTGTATTGTTCTGTTTTGTATTATATTGTATTGTATTATTTTGTATTGCTTTATGTTGTTTGTATAGTACTGTTTTGTATTATATTGTATTGTATTGTATTGCATTGCATTGCATTGTATTGCATTGCATTGCATTGCATTGCATTGCATTGTATTATTTTGTATTGCTTTATGTTGTTTGTATTGTTCTGTTTTGTATTATATTGTATTGTATTATTTTGTATTGCTTTATGTTGTTTGTATAGTACTGTTTTGTATTATATTGTATTGTATTGTATTGCATTGCATTGCATTGCATTGCATTGCATTGCATTGCATTGTATTATTTTGTATTGCTTTATGTTGTTTGTATTGTACTGTTTTGTATTATATTGTATTGCATTGCATTGCATTGCATTGCATTGCATTGCATTGCATTGCATTGTATTGTATTGTATTTTACTGTATTGTATTATTTTGTATTGCTCCATGTTGTTTGTATTGTACTGTTTTGTATTGTATTGCATTGTATTTGATTGTATCAAGATAAAATAAATCTTATCTTATCTTGATTGTATTGTATCGAGGTTGTATTGTATTGCATTCAGATTGCAATGTATAGAATTGTGTTGCTTTTTATTATATCTGTTGCATATCAAAACATTGTATTTCATTGCACTGTATACCCATTTATTAAAAAATAGCATAACATCATTACCCTGTTATTCCAGCCAGGATACGGAACATTTCCGATTGAAAATATTTCCCATAGCAAAACACCGAAACTCCAAACATCAGATTTCGATGTATATGTTTGGTAATGCCACACTTCTGGTGCTGTCCATTTTATGGGAATCTCTTTTGTCGTTTGAATTTGATAAATTCCTACCAAAATAACATTTATTGAGATAAATTCTGACTAAACATAATTTCTACAATCATGTCAAATTGCTAATCATGTAAAATCTGTTCATAATATTAAATAAAAACCTGCATTAAATTTAACAACTATACTCTACTACAAAAACTGTGCAGAGAAAAATCTACAAAGTATTGCTCATTAAAATAATTTAATTACAAGTAGAATGCGTAGCTCCTAGTCCCAATCAATTTCCTAGGGGTTGTGCTTCAGGGTAAATGTAGTAGGGGGGAGGGGGGAGAATTTCAATGTCCCTATTTATCTTGAGGACAGCTTTTAGCATGCTAAATTTTCAAATCAGTGCCAAGGAGTTTGGTCACGAGTGTAGATTTAAAAGAAATTTATCTCCAAGCTTTTAATTGTTTACTATGACCTTTGGCATTTGTTACTATGACCTATGACCTGTGACCTCTCACCTTCTTCGTCTTCTTCTCTTGACATTCCAAAGTCGGAAATCTTAGCAACGTAATTTTCACCCACTAAAACATTCCTCGCCGCCAAATCTCTGTGAATTGTATTTTTAGACTCAAGGTAGGTCATCCCTTTGGCTGCGTCCTGCCCCATTCTGAGAAGATCGGCCATCCCAAGGGTCATTCCGCGCTTCTTCAGAAAGTTCAAGAGGTCACCATATGGCATAAGCTCCATTACTGAAAAAGGAGAGAGATAATATTGCTCCAACGCCGATCCATTTGTAGAAAACAAAAAAAGGCAAGTAAACCAAGCTTAGTATAACACTTGAAAATCAATAGTTAAGTTGAGGGAATTTTGAAGGTTACAAGGCAAAATATGGACATAATGGGAAACATAGATCGCAGTACTGTTGCCAACACAACAAACAAACCGGGGGTCATGTACTTACAGATCATAAAAGGGTCTTTATCATTGCATATACCAATCAGCCTAACAACATTCGGGTGATTGTATGGTTTCATAATTTCTGCTTCCTCTAAAAACTGTTTCTTTTTAATTTCATCGATGCCTTCTTTGCATGTTTTTATTGCCAGGGGCATCTTCTTCGAAAGCAACATCCCCTTGAAGACATCCCCAAAATGGCCATTCCCCAGCTTGATGTCCAGACGAACATCGCTTGACGGGAACAAGAACTTATCGCCCTTTACGAATGGTGGCCGGATTGGCCGAACTATTAAAACATGGTCAGCGGTTTTTATCGGTATGCAGTTCCGATGGTGGTGGTTAATGAGACCAGATACGCTGGCAAAAGCCTCTCCTTCGAATTTGAATTTACCCTGCAGTCAAAAAACATGGCAAAAGTTAATGTGGATATAAGTTAATATACGGTAATGCTTGCATTGCAATGAATTCTATGTGAAAATAAAGTATTGTACTGTATTGTATCGTGTTCTATCGTGAATATTATTTCATATACGGTAATGCTTGCATTGCAATGAATTCTACTGTGAAAATAAATTATTGTACTGTATTGTATCGTGTTCCATCGCGAATATTATTTCATATACGTTAATGCTTGTATTGCAATGAATTCTACTGTGAAAATAAATTATTGTACTGTATTGTATCGTGTTCCATCGCGAATATTATTTCATATACGTTAATGCTTGTATTGCAATGAATTCTACTGTGAAAATAAATTATTGTACTGTATTGTATCGTGTTCCATCGCGAATATTATTTCATATACGTTAATGCTTGTATTGCAATGAATTCTACTGTGAAAATAAATTATTGTACTGTATTGTATCGTGTTCTATCGTGAATATTATTTCATATACGGTAATGCTTGCATTGCAATGAATTCTATGTGAAAATAAAGTATTGTACTGTATTGTATCGTGTTCCATCGCGAATATTATTTCATATACGTTAATGCTTGTATTGCAATGAATTCTACTGTGAAAATAAATTATTGTACTGTATTGTATCGTGTTCTATCGTGAATATTATTTCATATACGGTAATGCTTGCATTGCAATGAATTCTACTGTGAAAATAAATTATTGTACTGTATTGTATCGTGTTCCATCGCGAATATTATTTCATATACGTTAATGCTTGTATTGCAATGAATTCTACTGTGAAAATAAATTATTGTACTGTATTGTATCGTGTTCTATCGTGAATATTATTTCATATACGGTAATGCTTGCATTGCAATGAATTCTATGTGAAAATAAATTATTGTACTGTATTGTATCGTGTTCCATCGCGAATATTATTTCATATACGTTAATGCTTGTATTGCAATGAATTCTTTGTGAAAATAAAGTATTGTACTGTATTGTATCATGTTCTATCGTGAATATCAATCAATTCATATACGGCAATGCTTGCATTGCAATGAATTCTATGTGAAAATAAAGTATTGTACTGTATTGTATCGTGTTCTATCGCGAATATTATTTCATTTACGGTAATGCTTGTATTGCAATGAATTCTAACATTCAAATATAGTATTGTACTGTATTGTATCGTGTTCTATCGCGAATATCAATTCATCTACGGTAATGCTTGTATTGCAATGAGCTCTACTGTGAAAATAAAGTATTGTACTGTACTGTCTCGTGTTCTATTGTGTTGCATCTTATTGTACTTTCCTAAGGTTACATCGCATTGTATACAATAGTGTACTGCATTGTATTGCATTGTCTGTTATTTTGTTGTACAATATTTATTGTACTATTTTGAATAGCGTTGTATTGTATCGTCTTATATTGCATCTTGTAGAGATTGAATTGCATCGTATTTTATAATATTGTATTGTATTGTATTGTATTGTATTGTATTGTATTGTATTGTATTGTATTGTATTGTATTGTATTGTATTATATTGCTTTGTATTGTGTTGTGTGTGTATTGTATTGTATTCTATTTTTGTTTTGTATTACATTGCACTGAACTCACATCTTCGGTTCTGTTAAGAAGAAAGTGTTTATGCGTATCACGACAAAGGACGCTGACGACAAACGTTCCAGTTCCATCTGATTTTTCCCTTACAAGGAAATCTCCGTCACTTTTTAGAAGTCGCTCTGCTGCTCGTCTGTCAATGTTGCCATGGAACCAAGGCTCAACAGTCACGTCCTCTGGAGGCTGAAACAAAATAAATTATTAAATTTGCTGTTAATATGAAAGATCCCCATCAAATTCTCGTCTCTCTTGCTTCTCCCTTGTGTGTACACAGGAAAAGGCGGAGGATTTACAATGGAAATATATCTTGGGTAAAATCAGGTAAAAAAACTTGAGCGACAACTTCTCGAAATAAGAACCATAGGCAAGACCCCCATCTGCCCTTAATTTTTTTTCTTAAATGTCCGTTCCTTTTGCCTCCGTGGTCCCCCATTCCCCTGTCCCCTCGATCTTCCTGGACCCTGATCTTCCTGGTCCCTTCGACTCTCTATTCCCCTAACTTCCCTGGTTACCCATGGACTCTCTGTTCCCCTAACATCTCGGGTCCACTGACCTTTCTGTTCCCCTGACCTCTCTGTTCCCCTGAACTCCCAGTTCGTTTGGCCTCCTTGATACCCTGGTTTCACTAGCTTTTTACTTCCCTATTTCCCTGACTTCTTTGGCCCCAGATCTCCTTGGTCTCCCAATGTCCCTGGTCCCCCGATCTCCCTGGTCATCTGACTTCCCTGGTTCCTTGGACTCTCTGGTCTCCTACCCTCCCTGGTCACCTGGCTTCCCTGGCCCTTCTTGGCCCTCCATTAACTTGACCCTTATCCTTACCTCGTCATAATCATTAAGTTCACTATCAGAAAGACTCTTCTCGTGCCTGTTGACGTCAAGACTATTCGACGAGAAATCCGCACTTTTTGTCTTTTTGGCTGAAAACAATGAATGTCTGCCTTTCTTCTCCTTAACCTTTAATTTGTCCTCTGTATTTAAGCTCTTGGAACGATCTTTTGTATCCTGCAAAAAAATTGGTTACCTTAAAACTCTCAGCAATAAAGACTTGCAGTATACGCCCATTTTGTTTAATAAGAAACGTTTCAATTTCATATGAAGTAATGAGATTTACTATATCTTTATGCAGTTATTCATGTCGTAGTTTCGGCCTTTGATGCTACACGCTGCTGCTGCTACAACTCTTACATGCTGCTACAACTACAAGTCATTTCCTCACACACTCGATATGGCCTAAATCTCCTGCATTCTTCTCAAAACCATCGATCCTTAGCGCCACAAAACAGTTTTCAAGAACTGCTCTACCATAAAGCTACCATTCTTGCCAAAATCAAGGTAGTGGAGCTTCCTATTTTATCCCCCCCTTCCCCCCCCCGGATCGACGATCTTATTTCTAGATATTGAGTCTCGGGGGGGGTGGGGTTAATGCTGTTTAAATTGATAGCAACCCAAAGTTCACCGAGATTTGTCGCAATAATACTTATTCCGGATTTCTAAATAATACTTAGGCCGTTCAAGAATTGTCGTAACATACCTTGAACGAATTCTCGTTTGGGTTTGTAACCTCGATATAGGCTGGAGCGGGGCCGTCACCAATTTCTTTTACTTTGTCTGTGATATGCTCGAGTTGAATCTGAAAAGGTTTAAGAAGAAAAAAATTAAAATAAATTTCAATGAAAACATGTTCGAGATAGTGGGCATTCTAGACGAAGGAACGTTTTTTGTGCTTACCCACAAACTAGAATAAATGAAGGGAAAATTAATTAAGATAGAGAATATTCAACATATCAAATATTGCACATAGTGAACGGTGTTTCTGTAATTTGCTTTATGGTAAAACGAAGAGGAAACGAGAATCATTCGAGATAGCGAATGTTCGAAATAGCTGGTACTTGAGACAGCGGATGTTGGTTTTAAATAGATATCGCACAAGGCGACTGACAAGACACAGGGACACCAAGGTAAAACTTCAGGATACAGCGGGGATTATGTTGTAAATGTAAATCTGGAAATTATTCACTGCTTAAGAACGGCTGGTATAAACGCGTTAATTAAATATAGTTAATAGACGCGTTAAGGCCTCATCTATAAAGGCCTAAATCAAAGCCAGTGGGTGACTCTGCTAGTCTGTATGGGGCTAGTTTGACGTCATTATTACGTAAGATTGAAAAGGAAAGTTTTTAGTCAAACATGGCAGAAAACCAGTGACCACTATCTTATTGGTCACTGAATAAATTATCATAATTTATTCACATTGCCAAAATTAATGGCAAAATACAAACCAGGGCAAGCATCTCTTTGCACGAGAGTTCGTTAATTTCCCTGTTCACGTGACACGACTGTGAAGTCTTTTCCAGCACGCTAAGGAGTGTAAAAATGAATTTACACAGTTGCTAATATTAAGTGACTGCAATTTTAGGGGTGGGGGTGATGATTCAAAGAGATTTCAAAACATAATGCGGGTTACGATGTCGCAACTTTCAGCAAAATTGGCTTTATTTAGAAAAACATATACCTATTCGTTGCCTATTTATGAAATAACACAATAAAACATATATATATAAATATTTCCTAGCGTAGAGCTTTAGATCTATGTTCTGTCGTTTTAAACTCTGAAGATTGTCAGACGAAAAGCTTCAGTTCACTCAAATGTTTGCTTTTTTCAAAGCCATTTTCAAGTTTTGTACCACCAAAAGATTGTTTACAATAAAACATACTAAAATTCTTTATTTTTTATCCATCACATACAATTCATATAGAAGAATTTTATTGTTTGTCCGTCTGCTAACAACATCACACAATATCGCTTGAGAAAATACATCATGATCTTTTTTTAACAAAACAAAAAGATATAAGAAAAGTCGCTGTCCCTTGCTGGCTATTGTGATCAAGGGGGTTTTAGGACTTCATCTGCCGAAAATTGGGCGAGCCTTTCTGTATTTGTTGTGAAGTTTGTAAATTTTCCAATTAAGTACCTTTGAATGGAAACACTCTCCGATTTTGCAAAGAAATTTATTCAAGGGGGTCACACCCCTGACGACAGCCCCCCCCAACAGCAACGGACTTGGCCTGTTCTCCAGACCCCCTGGCACCAGATTTTCATTGACCTACCTTAGATTTGAAACTTCATCGGTTTTGTTGCCATTGGCGATTCCATTGAGATCGGCCATTATGCGCGTCATCGCTTCTTCCTTCAAGGAAATCGTTAATAAAGGCTTATAAATTCTTGGAAATAGCTGGTCAAGCAAAAAGATGGGCTTTTAGCAAAGTAGCACAGTTGCAGGGATATCATTATGGTGCTTAAGGATCCAAAGCACTGATCTATAAAAAAGACTGGATCGAGCTCCCTATTGTCTTGAAATACCAAGTTTGAAGCCCGTTCTATTTCAAAAGGAAGATGGCCCCCAAACAATAACGGGAAGCCATTCCTCAAAACCAATACTCCAACGCGAGAGCTGCAATGCTGTGTGTATGATTGCTGAAAAAGGACAAGACCAGAGCAGCTGAAAACATTGCTAGGAGTGATAGAGAAGGCCCTCTCCTCGCATGGGCTGTTCTGGGGCCCTCTTCTCGGATGACAACACTCTGGTCACATTAGAAGCCATTGTATTGATGGCTGTTTTTGTCCAACATGCGTCATGGCCTCGCGAAATCCGATATGGCCTTTTTTGAGGGTTTCTATAAAAAAAGTCATACCTTCAGTTTTGTTTCTGCTTTTATCGTATCGATTTGTTGCTCCAGAGACTTCATTCTAAAAAGAATTGGAATGTTTTTTATATAGTCTCGACATACTTTTTTGTAATCTTTCGGATAGATAGATCCTTATAAATCATCACCCAGGTATAAATTCCCTTTTATAATCAAAAGATGCCTTAGGATTCTTACTTTGTAGGCCAATATTTCTATATATGCCAAGCTCTGAGTTCTTAGACAACATCCTTCATACCCATGACTCCACAACGATGTATACTAACTAAATAAATCCCAAAAGCTAACAATTCCTAAAACGTCATCTTTCAGACCTACCAGCCTTTTGTCTACGCTTACAATGTACCAAAGGCAATAGGCATCATATTGTTCGCCAAGATTTTTATGGCCATAAGGATTGCTCACAAATGAACTTTTGGTAGAAAGAGCCAGAAAGAGCCATATTTTGGTGAGAGATTCAGCACAACAATATAAAAACATAAAATAACACATAACATAACATAACATAACATAACATAACATAACATAACATAACATAACATAACATAACATAACATAACATAACATAACATAACATAACATAACATAACATAACATAACACGCACGTTGCAAAGCAAGAAACAGGCGTTGGCAGAGACAGAAAATTTAACTTTTTGAAATGGGACAAGCGAAGTAGATTTTCGAATTTCTTGTTTGAAGTAAGGGGGTAGCCTGCCAGCCCTCTTCACTGTGGATGGGTGGTGGTTCTTTTGAAAAAGAGGAAATATAAAAAATTTGTTTGTTTCTTAGTGCTCTTGCTTAAAGTAGAATCTTAACAGAGCGATGTAACCAAAAGTGGGACATGAATGTTAAAGTTGCCCAATCAGTGCCGTTTGGCTGTTGAAAATATTACCTTAAACAGTCATGCACCCGCGTTCCTCACTGGCCTATTTCGATCCACAACTGACTTCGAGTTTTCGATAAATGCTCGAACGTTTTATACTCGGATAAGTGTCAAACGCAAGCGTTAATTTATTTCAAAATTTTTGGTTTTTTCAAAGCCTTTTTTAAATTCTGCAGCATCAAAAAGAAAAATTTATAATTCAAAACAACAAACCTGTATTTGAGTTGTTCGTGTGTCAAGTCATTCAGTGCCAGCTCGTCTTGTACCAGCCCAGTTGTTGCCTTGTCACTCTCCACCAAGGTTTCATCGAAATAAAAAGGGATGTTGGGTTGTGGTGGGTTCCTGCGTGATAAAACATTATTTCAAGCTTTGCTATTAGGTACTTGGTTGTATAATGCTAAAGGGTGTATATAAAGAGCCCTACACGCATTGTTGTGTAGGAAAGGACGGTTCTCATCATCATCATCATTACACTTACATTTAACAACCCTTTTGGGTCATACAAATGTCTGCCCAGTCAACTACAACATTCAAATTTACTGACGTGATTTCGACATAGATTGTAAAAGGTATCCGAATTTGCCTGCATCACAATACTGTCTGGCAGGCTATTCCATACAGAAACGATTGAATAAAAAAATGAAAACCTAACAGCATCAACCCTTCCGAATTTAGGCATGATCTTCAATGAGTTAGAGTTCCTTGTCATTGAACAAGTTGCAGGGGAAAAGAAAACGTTAGGGTCCAAAACAACCTGATTTGTAAACATTTTATAAACATATTTCAGTTGGAATAGTAATCTACGTGATTGAAGTGAGTCCCATTTCAGTTCTAAGTCGCTACTCTAAGTTTGAAGATTAATCATCAGACATTTCGATGCTCTTTGATAGACTATGCATGTACAAGGCATATTGTCTAAAGAAAACTACTGAGAATTGATCTGCTTTTATAGACGAAAATGACCAATTAAGGGGAAAGTGGCGGAATGCAACAAGGCTCTTTACTTGCTACCTTGTTTTTATATGACACGATGCCATATAGACAAAGCTCTGCATGCTTTCATGTGTAGGAAAGGACATTTCTAACTTGCTACTATAAGATTAAAGCAACCATCAGGCATTATTTTCGTCTTATCTATTTATTTATCTTTGTATTTATCAATTCATGTCCTGTATGATGATGTTGGCTAACGAAGATCATCGTTATGGTCTGCAAAATCTCAAGACATGCATAAAAAACCGCAGGGGCTTCTAAGTACCTATTGAAAATCAGAAAAATGCTAAGTTATGGTAACAAGGCAATCAGCACGTCATAAAAATTGTATAATGTCCATCCATCTTAGCAAAGCGTTAATAGAGAAATATTATAAATGCAAAATATTATATATATTGAAAATTTGGTATTTCTCAACTAACGTACTGTGCAAGGGATCAAGGGTGATCAAATGCTAGTTTGATCATTTTGTCATAAAATGAATTCATTTGGGTGGGCTGAGTTTTGGCCGATGACGTTTTGGTGCAATACCCATAAAACAATTTCAAAATACACTGGGTATGGCCCTGGTAGAGTAAACTCTTTTTTAGAAATCAGGGAGATTTTCTTGAAGCTTGATGTTCATATTTTCTGGTAATTTGAGGCATGTATGTTCTTAATGTTGTTTCTACTTTGGAATTGACTTTTCTGAAAACAAACGAATTGTTTCTGAGAAAACTAAATAACAGTTTTGCATGACATTTTTAGCATGACAGCTCATGCGGGGAAAGACCTTCCCTGTCTTGTTAATATGAGTAAAAATTCACATTATTCATCTAATTTTCCACCTGAGCATGTTTTTAAAACGTTCTTATGGGAAATCAAGCTGATTGTTCTTATAAAAACATATTTGCTGCTTTACCTACCTACTTTTAGAGAGAAATGAGCGGTACTCGTTCCCCTTTTCAACCATCTTGATGCTCCCTTCAACTTGCTTCGATGATGCAATAAATTCTTCCTTGCACCAATTGGTATTTTCAAAGATGCTTAAAAGTACCAACTTGCTAAAAAGAAAATACGAACATGATATGGCAACAGAAATAGCAACTTTATCTAATGCCCTGTCCTTCTCAAAATCTTCTTAAATCCCTTTCCCCAAAACAGAGTTATAATGAAGCTAGTTAATGTGAAAGATAACCATAAACCTAAAATTCATTCACATAACTTTCCATCAGTTTCAGCATTGAATTAAACTGATATTTTCATGAAATACAATCAACATAAGAGGGCCCTAAAAAATTGCAGTTTCCTTGCAATTTTCAAATTCTCCTTAAATCTATTCCTCGAAGCACAGTTTTAATAAATGTATGTTGTTTTAAAGAAAAACATACAATTTATCTACACCAAGCCTAGTCATAAGTCTTATAGCAGGGGAGCAGTAAACAATTATCCTAGTAATTTCCAGGTGAGCTATTTTTATATGTATGTGAAAAGAAACAAAAGGAAAAATTGAATTCAAGGCTAGTAATTTGCTTATATACAAGGGCCCACGAAATCACTTTTCAATGCCACTTTAAAATTCTTCCTCAATCCCTTCCCAAAAGCACAGCAAAAGTCAAACTGTAATAAAATATGTTGTTGTGAAGGACAAAGACAAAACCCACATTTCGTCAACATAGCCTTCTTGTAACTCTTGCATTGAGTTCAAAAGATACGGCATTATGGTATCATGAAAATATGATTGATGGGCATTTGCAACTCTCACAGATAAAATATAATCATTGTGTGTGGCATGCAGTTTCAGGCAAGTTTTATCCAACTTCTCCTTCATCTTTCTCCATTCTTTGTCTCCTTTCCCTTTATTAGAAAGTTCATCTAACTTGCTTCGAATTTTTGTTGCCTCTTTCACAGAGACACGATAAAGATCACTAAGCCTTTTGACTTCATCTTTGGAACAAGTGTAATCAAGATCTGAACGTGATCTGTCTAATTGATATCTTTTCAAAACATCTTTCTTTCCTTGGATAACTTTGTCAAGTTTTGTTAAAACATTCGATTGTATTTCCTTCACCATTAGTGACATAGTAATTGCTTTGTTTTCAGTCTCATTAACATAAGTTTTCCAAGCCTAAAAAAACAAATGTACATAATGATTTCAGGATCAATTAGTAAAGTTGGATTACAAAAATGAAAAATCTGCTTGGCAGCACCAGGCAATGATCACGGGGAAGAAATTTTAGGCAAAGCAATGCTGCAGTCAACAATGGTTGCGGGTCAGGGGTAGCATGGCAGGAGGGTATAGGGGCAAATATCCCCTAGCATCATTCTTCAAAAATTTTTTAATATTCAATTCCATGAAATCAGAAAACAGATTCAAAAGTCAACCATTCAGCTTATCTATAATCCTATAAAACAAAATAACATTTTATAAAATAAAGCCCTAAAAAGCAACACCTGAATTGAATATGTGTTTTAATCAGAATTATAGGATTCTTATCCCCTTCATGACATCAAAGCCATGGCACACCAATTGAGGATGTCTGTTAATGGGAGCTATTTGTTATTGGGAGGTGTCCATTTGCAAAGGCTTAACTGTATACATCAAACAAGTGCTAGTTGTCATCCTCTACAAGACTTGAAAAGGTCACACACATATGACTTTGATTCTGGAATGCTCCTTGAGGTGCATGTTTAAGCTCCAAAACAACTTCCTTCTTAGAACTTCCTTTTATTAAAATTTTTTTCTTAGAAAAGTTATACTAATCTTCTCATGTTACAGTGCAAACCGCAAGCAAACAGATGAGACTTCCTTTCATGACCTCTCTGTGTGTAACAGGCAGGCTGAAGCCAGGGGGCTGAGGAAGGGGCTATAGCCCTCCCACTTTTTTGCTTAACTATGATATTCAGGTAGTGGCATCAAAGATTATGGGGGGGGGACTACCATAAAGGTTTGCCAACTGGTCTAGAGCTCCTCAGTCCAAAATGTGCTCCAGCATCTGTGTGTGTGTGCATGAAAGGGGGAGAGAATCATCCAGGGCCAACAGCTAGGGCTTGGGTTACAAATTCATTTCCTTTTTGTCTTCAGTCTTGTTACATGATTTGTACAGAGAGGAAGACTATGTTATTCCTGTGTGCAGTTAGTCTCTCCTTTCATACATTTAGCCCCTCCTACACAATTTGTACTCCTCGTTAGTGACTGGTAGAAAATACACATTTCCCTTGCCAACAGCAATATAGGAAGGGTTTGTTAGTTCCTTTTCTTGTTGCCTAAGACATAAGAGGCGTGCCTGTTAAAGCATTCATGTGTTTTGAGGAAAAGGTTCTCTGACAGGCTCACTCCAAAGATCTGTGAAAGGCTCACTCCAAAGATCTGTGACCGGCTCACTCCAAAGATCTGTGACAGGCTCACTCCAAAGATCTGTGACAGGCTCACTCCAAAGATCTGTGACAGGCAACAAAATGAAGAGGTAGGGTAGCTACTTCCTAGATAGCTATCCTACTTCCTCATTGCTGTCACATGCAAATATTTGTTCAAAAAATGATATCAATGACGGATGAAGAAGCCTTCCACATATGAATTGAAAACAGGAAGTATAAAATTACAAAATTCCGCGTAGTTCTTTGAGCCATGAATTGCAAAAAATATGCTGCATTATAAAAAAAACACTAAATATTAATTATTTGCATTTTCAAAAAAAGTTGTCAGTTTAAAGAAACCCAAACAAACATTGAGAAACCAGAATGAATTATAAAAGAAAACACAGATGTTAATACCTTTTCTAGAAATCCATCATTTTCATTTGTGCTTACATCCATTTTAATACTATTGTGCAACTTGCCAACTTTATCTGCATAATCCAAATCTAACTTGGCTCTTTTCTCCACGTAATTTCTAATTCCTTCCAGAAATTTTATTTCACCTTCGTTCTTCTCAATCAATTGCTTGTTCGCCTCGGCGCTTGGGCCTAACACTGTAGCAAATTGTTTTTCCTCACCCATAATGAATCTTTCTGGCAATATTATATTGTTTGTATGATTTAAAAGGAACTATTCAAAATATTTGGTAAGATCCATTGCTGCATTGCACCATTTAAAAAGCCGCTCCCACCAGCATGTTCCGACAGATATGGGCCTAGCCAATTTTCACTTTCTTCACGGAAAAGTTCCTCGGCGGAAAACGAAAGCTCCAATTATGAATGCTTAAGAACCTTCCAGCAAGCTAAACTAAGCACGTAAAACCAGAATAAAAAATAATTATCCAATTTTGAGATCTAAACCTTCTCTTTAGTGTGAAATACCACTTCTATATAATAAGCATTCTTTGTTCCATCTAATATGAATTGTAACTTCCGTTTACGGTTTTTGTTCCGCTAAACTTTGCGATATTTGCGAATTTGCTTACAAATCTTTTTAAAAAATATAATTCGCGAAAATTAGCGAAAAAGAAACGAAAACAACACCAAACTTGTTTACTAAAATAACAGATTCGATCTACTTTATTATTTTACATAGAAAAATACACTTTTTGAATAAAAAACTCGTGTAAAAATGTTTCCCATTGATTGTTGGGTTGGTAATTTTATTTAAAACGGGAGCGGATCCAGAAGTCGAACGGAAAAAGTGGCTGCCAAAAATTATTTCCTGGTTGCCGAGCTCGATTAACTTTGTTTCGAAAGATGTGTAAACTTAAAAAAAGGAAGAAATTAATATAAATGTTAATTATGGGCGAGATTGTCGTGTCATATTATTTTCTGTTATTATTTTCACATCTTCTTTCTTTCCCTTTGCATCCCAATTTGTCTTTGGTTTTCTTTTGTTCTTGTTTCTAGTAAACTTCTATAAAACCTCAGGCCTAAGTTGTAAATATGCGAAATGCTTATGACGTAAGCAGCAAAAGGCATAACCGTTCTTTTTCAGTGTCTCACACAATATGCGATCCAAACATATCACTTTAGCATTTACCTTTCTCGTGATCTTCTCGTGACTTCTCGTGATCCACTTAACTTGCTCTTTTGTTACTAACTTAGTATTTCCTTGCAATTAATGTTGTGGAAGCAATAAATTTCAATTTGAGACCTTATAGATGACGTCAGTTAACACTGCAGAACAAGGGGGCTATGGGGCTATAGCCCCCCCCCTCTTTTCCCAAAAATGCAAAATGTAGAGAAGTGAACAACAAGTAAAATGTCTTTTTTCTGTTTTAGCCCCCGCACTTTCTAGACCCCCCACTTTTCTCAACGTTCCCCGGTGCCAGGTCAGGGATGTAGTTGCCTGATGGGATAGGGACAGCTTCCCCTTTAGAATTCTGCAGAACATCCTAAATTGAATTTGGGTAAAAATAGAGTTGCTCCCAAAGTTTGACAATTACAAAACAGTTTTGAACGCCCCAGTTGCAATTTGGTGTTATTATTTGATGGAATGTGGCCAAAGAAAAATCTAACGTCTTCTAACGGATAACTATTATCTTTGTGTAGTTTATAAGTTTTAAAACTTGAGCCAAATTACAGTAGTTTGTTGTAGAAAAACTCTATTCTTTTGACATTTGTCTAGGAGGAGTAGACGTAGAACATAAACAATTGTAAAAAATCTATAGTTACCCGCTGGTAGGGAACTGAACAGTCTCCAACGAGGGGTAATTCACTGCATTAAAATCTCATACACCTTTGAGTAACAGCGGTTTTAGGGACTGCGGGGCCAAAAAATCTGCGGGGACCCTGTTCTTTACAATTTGTATCGTTTTTCTTAGGTGTGGGGCCCCTTTTGGCTATCATAAGCGCAGGTTCTGGGGCCATGGCCCCCTGGACCCCCTTAAAACCGCCACTGCCTTTGATGAGAACCCTTTTGTCTTAACTGAAAACAACTGGAAATTATTTTGCTTTCGTGGGAATCTCGTACGTAGGCTAAAAGAATGAACTGCTTCTCGGTCATAAGGACAGATACTACGTTCAAATTTTTGAGTGGAATTAGCAAGAAGATCTTCTTTCATTGGTTTTTGTGGCATTTCTATGTCAGTGACCTTTTCGTTAACGTGATTATTCTGACAACTTGTTTATATCAGAATATTATATTCAAAAACTTCCCGGATGATAAATCTTCTGAATTTAGGTAGGCCCACAGAGAACTTTCTGGGGCCCTGGGCAAAGAGAAACAACGGGCCGTAATGACGTCACGAAAACTATGATTTTTATTGTTGTAGTTTTACATATAAGGAACTTTGTTCAGGGGCGGATCCAATCTTATCTCCTAACCTGAATTCCATCGCTTAACATTCATTTGTCTCAGGGGTTATTCTAGCGTGGATTTGTTGCCGTTTTGTGAAATTTCAAATCAGATTTGTGGTATGATTTCAATTTTGCGGTGTTGTAAAAAAATCAGCAATCTTGAATAACTTTTGGGGCATGTAGAAATCGTTGGAAGAAATAAAAAAGTCAAATTCATGCAGCGAATCAAAACAAAATCTAGACATTAAGGAAGAATTATATTGAATAGTCAATCAGTACTTAACCTAAAAACACCTTAGCTTTTGATTTTGGTTGCTTATTTCTTTGTTTACACCTTTATCAGGTAAAATCGATATCGTTTGCATTCTTATCATGTAATGTCATACCAACCTCTACTATACCCTGTATCTGTAAATAGTTTCTGTTTCCAATGCCAATTCTAACAATGAAGTCAAACGAAAGTCCTATCATTTGAGATCAATGGTTCTCGTTCTACCGTTGTTTCTGTTCGGTTTTTCAGTAATTTATTACAGTCTACAAAAAGATCCTCAGTATTTGAATTTGTGGTGTTGAAAATTGTTCCTAGAATAAACCCTGATTTGTCTTAATGTCTCTTACAACTGTTCAATGTTTTCATTCCAGGTTATTGTAACCTGCATCCATGTTGCTAATGCTTCTGTTTAGGATTGAAACAATCTGAGGTTTCTGTCCTCGGTCTTAAGTTCTCTTTTTAACATGGCATAGCAATACGAAGGGTTTGCTAGAGTTATAAACAAGTGTACTTATTTGACCCCGAACGTTGCCAACATGATTATAAGTTTTGCTTTTTCTCAACCAGACAAGGATAATTTTCTCTGCCCCCTGCCATATTCACCTGCTATCCCCCGTGGATAGAAAAGTTCGCCAGGCCCGCCTGTTGCATCGCTCAAAACTTGTTAAACGAATTCTGATGACAGCATTTAGCCCATATAAAGATGCCTACAGAACATCGAAACAGAATGAAAGTTTCTAAATAATTAATAGAAGTTGGGGTTTTTTTCAAATGCCCTTTTCCTGAAGCCTGCCCCCTTAATAATTGGTCGGTTCAGTTCTCCTGCCCTCATTCATACCCTTTTTCAGCGACACCCATCTTCCTCATTCATTACTAGGGCAGGTAGGCTGTGAGCCGAGGCTAACCAACATACAAAAGTTTCAAAGAAGGTCAATGCACAACTGTCATAAATTATTTTGTACAAAATATATAAAGGGAGTTATTAGAAGGGAGGGCCCCAATCAGGGGGCTGCTCAAAATCTACACCCCCTCCCCCCATCCCATTCATTCAACAACCATGGATGTGGAGGAGCAGCTATGTTGAAGAAACGTATTATTAAGGTGTCACGTCCTTGTTAAGGAGGTGTTATTATTTCAAGCATGGCGGATCTCTGAATGAAAAAGTTTTGGAGGAAAAGTGACTTGTAAAAATGTCTAGTTCGGGATTATTCGATATTTCAAGCTGGTTCGACGACATTCGTCGTATGAATAAAAGACAGGTAAAGCTATTTCATCTTTGTTTGGTGCAATGATTTTAGTGTATGACCTCAATATGTCGTTAGATTATGGCATGAGAGGCCTAAATAAACCACCGTTTGCGAAAACTAGTTTTGTTAGCATAGAGCGAACTTCCAGTGATGTTTTACCTTATAAACGCAACCTTTAATCTGGTTTCTACCAATATTTTAACATGACTTTAACTGGTTATGTAATTTAAAAAAGGTTATCAACAGTTCAGGAATATTTTGTAAACACATTTGTTTTTTTCTTTCCTACAGCTATGTTACCAAATTTTAAATTTCGGAATGATAGTTTCTTCTGCACTGATGATCTGGAAAGGTCTGATGGTGACAACTGGAAGTGAAAGCCCGATAGTTGTTGTTTTAAGGTAAATATTCCTTAAATGAAGACTTTTCAGAGGCATGAAGTAAAGTTGACTGTAAAGTATTCTTTTCTGTGCAGGGAATGTCAGAACAATGAGTTTGAAATCCTAGAACTACAAATTGTCAATAAACCCCCCCCCCTTGAGTAAGCCCCCAATGCTCAAAATTCTAATTTCTAAATTCTAAATTCTCAAAATGGACCCCTCAATTTGATGATTTTTGCCATCTGAGGTTGCCTATGGCGTTTTATTCAATTACCACAACAAATTCATACTTTTGGTAATTAAATGCTCTTAAAAAAATTTCTACTGAAATAAACAACGCTGTCTTCTGAAAGTCTACAATAATCTAATAAGCCCCCTGTGGTATAAGTCCCCCTCGAATAAGCCCCAATCCAAAAATATCAAAAATAAATAAGCCCCCAGGTGGCTAATTCAAGGATTTACAGTATGCCAAGATCCTAGGGTAGATTCTTAATAAAATGCACAGGCAGGATTAAGGATGAAAATTACTGCTTGTTCTTGCAAAGAGGGAACTTAACAGGTGAAGGGTGAGGAAATAGAAATTCTGAAAAGACATATATTATCACATAAAGTCATCTAAAAGTGACTAATTGTTCACATAGATACAGTGACGGAAATTCAGATTTTCATAAACCAAAAACCGCAAAAAATACAATGGCCGCCTGTATCATTGAGATTTGCAAATTCCTTTGTAGCTCAGACAGGGTCTATTGACAATCAATTTTCATTCTGGCATTTTCCCCTATTCTAAAGAAGTTTCACAGCCAAAAAAAGAGCCCTCTCACAATCCATGGCACGGAATTCCATCCCTGGTAAGCTTTCATTTGACTTTTGATCAAACTTAGAGGTGTTTATTATTTTTGTCTTTTAGTGGCAGTATGGAGCCAGCATTTTTCAGAGGAGACCTTCTGTTCCTTGGTAACGATGTCCAAGAACCAATTAGAGCTGGGGAGATTGTGGTTTTTAAGATTGAAGGCAGAGAGATTCCGATAGTACACAGGGTCATAAAGGTTCATGAAAAGTAAGTGACTTTGCTCACCATGACACAAGTCAGACAAAAACCGCAATAAATACAATATCAGCCTTTGTCAAAAATTGGAGGTTCTCACTCCTCTCGTGACACTCTTCTCTCTAAAGTTTGTTCATCTTTTGATACAAGAGTTTTTTCCTATAAGTGCCACAAATTTCCTACCACAAAATACATTTTGCCATGTGCAAATAACCTCGTCAATTTTAACTGTGCATGTATATACATATGATGAAAAATTTTGTAAACCAACAGAACTCCAAACAAATGCTAGCCCTTCTCCACAACAATAGCACATCCAGGGGTAGGGGGTAATAGGGTATGTTGTCTGCAAGAAGATTATCATTGAAAGCCAAAAATATAAATTTTTTCTTTATTATAACTTTGTCTTTGTAATCTTTAAACAGTAACCCTTGATCAATTGTATTTTTCTAGATATTTTAGTTGCAAAATCATCAAATTTCTTTCTGAAAATCTTCATATGTCAAAATATCTATTTTTAGATCATCTGGTGATGTCAAATTCCTTACAAAGGGTGACAACAACAATGTAGATGACCGAGGATTGTATGCCCCAGGGCAATTTTGGCTTCAAAAGAAGGACGTTATTGGAAGAGCTAAAGGGTGTGTTTTTTTATTGAAATTCTTGTTTATATGTATGCAATTAGTAGCTATTTGCACAAGATATTCATTTATACAAGTATCTTATCTTCAAGGTATACTATTTAGGATTACAATAAGGAAAGTTTAGAAATATCGGGAACTATCAGGAACCATTGGAAACTAGGAAACAGTGGGGTGCTAGATCTTTCTTTGTTGAGAAAAGCCATATCAAGTAGAAAGTAGATTGCGAGTCAGGTAAACAAGAAAAGGTCTTTTTAAAATTGTATTTAAACAGAGGAATTAAGGACGGCTCTATTTATTCTTTATACGCTCTATTTGTCTCTATTATTACTTTATAGAGAAGATCTCTCAGGAAAAACGGGTCTTTTATTTGATAAAAGGAAACTTTATTCTGAAGAATGGTACTTTTTCTGACAAAGATTTTGACAAAAGGGGGGGGGGGAGGATTTTTGCAAAAATATCTAGGAAAATTGGGTGGTCAGGCCCCAAGGACTTCCGTAGCTCCTATTTCCATGATCATTTTCACCCACAAGGTATAATGTTTCCATTTTGTAGGATTGGGCCTGGAGTAATCCTTTTCTAACATTCTTTTTCTGAGTGTTTGGTTTTTTGGCGGGGGCTTATTCGAGAGGGTGCCTTGTTCAAGGATTTACAGTAATATGTTGTAAATGTCAATCATAAATCTTACTAATTCAATAAAAGATTGATATATAAAAGAAGACAGTAAATTCATTTATTCTGTTAGTAACAATTCTGTAAGGCGTTCGAGGTAACAAAATCTCTCAAAATTGTCCAAAAGTAAACTCCAAAATCTTTTGGGTAGGATCAAAGAAAGTTCTAGAAATTATCTTTGATTTAGTTTGCATTGATGATTTTGTCACAAATTTTTCTACTTTTTAAACAATTTTACTTATTCTATCCTGTTTTTTTCAGATACCTTCCCTATATCGGCATTGTTACCATTCTAATGAACGACTATCCAAAAATAAAGGTTTGTACTTTTTTATCTTCTTACTTGGTTTTTTGTCACTTTTTCCATTTTCACTTTTCCCAACTCTCTCTCCAACATCTTTTACTTTCTCATTTCTCACCAGTCATCGGGCGAGCAATGGTTGGGGCAGGGGGGCTACATCATTATTTTTGTTGTTTCAGTTTTTTCTGGAAAATTTGAGCTTGTCCCCTATTCTCCTAAAAGAAATCACCTTTCTGTTACTCGTTATCGCCACGTAGAACCCTAGCATTCTTATAGTCATCCAGCCCCCAAAGTTTCCAACCTTCCCAGTTCCCCACCTTGCACAATTTCGCAGCAACCCAAAGTTCCCCAGCACTCCATTGTTTCCTAGTTTCCTTACTCCCAATAGTTCCCGATAGGTCCCCATAGTTCCCGATATATCCCGATATTTCCAGATATTTCCCCTGCACCCTAATGTTCTCCAACACCTCATGGTTCTTCAGTCCCCTATAATTTCCCAGCACCTATCCCCCTGGTTTCCCAACATCGATCTACAGTTTCAGTCATCTCTCTCTTTTCCAGCACACCATCTTAGCAGCGTTGGCTTTCTTTGTGTCCCATCCCCCATATTTCCCCAGCATCTTCATTTCCCCAGCACCCTATTGTTCTCCAGCACCCCATAGTTCCCCAGCCCCAAATAGTTTCCCCGCACCCTACCCCCCTCTGCTCTCCCAACATCGGTCTACAGTTTCAGTCATCTCTCTCTTTTTCAACACATCATCGTGGCAGCGTTGGCTTTCTTTGTTCCACTCCCCCGTAGATCCCCAACACCCCATAATTCCCTAGCACCGTATTCAACACCCCATAGTTCCCGGCACTCGATTCCCATCCTTCAACAATTTCAATTATCTCTCTCTCTATCTTTTCCAGTACATCATCTTAGCAGCGTTGGCATTTTTCGTTCTGATCCATCGAGAATAAAGAAACAACGACAAACAACCGAACATTTCAAAGCAACTCTGTTTCAAAGACAAACTAATAAACATTCTTGTAAAGCCATTCCTTAGAATTAACTTAAAGTGTCTTATGTGTCTTCGTTTGGTTCTAGCCTTGCTCTTAATTGCTCCTTTGCGTCAATCGTCAGGACCAAGGTTTATGGTGCTAAACTGGGGGTAATGCTATAAGGCACCATAGTAAACAGGTTTTTAGTCCTCCTTTACAAATACAATAAAAATACGAAAACTCATACGATCAATGTAAACAGATTTTTATTCCTCAAGTGAAAAGCGTACAATCTTTTTTATAAGAACTAGATAACTTCTGCCAGAACTCGAGTATTGTTATATCTCGGATAAGTTGAGGCTGGAAGGTTCTTAATTTTGTTCTTATTTCAAAGTTGATATTTCTACAACTTCAAAGTATGAATTGAATCTAATACCACTAAATTTTCCATGACACATTCAACACAGTAAAAACCTGCGTGTAAGAACTTACTTTATCAGATTTTGGCAAAACTGGTTCTTGTAAAATGGGGTACTTCTTGACGGTTTGGGCTAAATAGGTGTACCGAATTTGTTAAAGCTTGTCACAGTACACCTTCACTAATCGATTGCAGGGTCGCCAGATGTACCGAAATTGTCAAGGCACACCGTCACTCGAGTAAAGCCGCAAAAAGTTCCACTACTTCACTATTTCTAACGATAACACAACATTCGATCAAGAAAACCTAACATGGCCTCTACTCTCGGTCCCAGTTCTAATTTTACTGTAAATGTTATTAATGTAATTTGCGGACTAGCGCAACGGAACAAACAGAACAAGGTTATAATAGGTAGCTAAATCGGTTCATCGGTCCTTAATTAGGTTCTTAATTTCTACCGAGTATATATTGTTTTGATGATCAGAAACCATCATTCAATCTGGTCTTTTCTTCATTCTAAAAATTTATTAGTGTACCAATGTTGCCAAAAGTTCACCAACAATAATATGGAAGTATATAAAATAGTAGCAATAATACTGTACCACAATTGGTTATTTTATGTAATCTGCTCTGTTTCCTTCACATGAGAGAAAACTTTAAAAAAGCAGACTGCTTTTTCTTCTAATTTTTCTTCTGTGGCTTAGCATGTTATTATTTTTGGCAAATAGAGTATTTGAGTTTTTATGGATTGTGCTCTTAAACAAGAATAGTTATGTTGTTCCATCCAGTAGCGTCGCCACGGGGAGGGGGGTTTGGGGGTGCGTCCCCCCAGTTCTTGGCAGGATCAAGTTTGTATTTCCTCTAGATTCGATGAGAAAATGTTTGGTGAAGGGTAATATTTTGACAGCGTACCTTTTGTGATGTAATCCTATGATTTTGAATCTGCTTTTACATAACTAAAGGTTGGTCATTGGCATTTCCTAGTGTTAAATTTGTCGTTCCTTGTTGGTAATGGGGCGTTTTCCGACAGTAGAAAGGACGTGGCTAAAGCTTTTTCGCTATGTCTACCTAGGGCCTAGTGGCTGGCGCTGCCCCAATTCCATCGATGAAAAATCCTAATTCCATCGATGAAGAATCTTAATCCATGGCGTCCTTTAAAGATGGCGTATAATGATACTTTACGACGACTAGGGGTCCCGGCGAAGGAATTACCGTAATGCTTCGATTAAACACCCGGGGCGTTTATTATTTTATCTTTTAAGGGCGTCTATTCGGGGGGTGTTTACAAGAGGGGCGTTTAATCGAAGCTTTACGGAAATCCATGTTCTGTTGACATAATGAGTTGGAAAGAAGATCTCCTTGTGACATTTAGGTGTTGTATTTCATGGCATCATTTTAACGTTTTTGTGTTTGCTAATCCCGAGTATAGATGACAAATGAGTAGATCTCAGAGACCTGCTACATCTAAACAGAACTCAGTTTTCTATCAGTAAAGAATGAGTTAACCAATTGTTTTTAGTTTGAAACAATACAATATGTGTTGTCTTGGTATCTTTAAAAAGTTGATAATCAATGAAATTGGGCGTGTTGTACGTCGAAGATGAACAAAATTTGATACAATGGTTGATAAAATTTGATACAATGGTTGATAAAATTTGATAAAAGTTGAAAAAAGTTGACATTAAGCCTTTTTTAACCAGATAAAGAGTTAAGGTCGAAATGTCGTACCAAAAATTCATTTCTGGTTCAAGGTCGTTATTTCATTGTATCAGATTTTGTTCATCGTTGATTTCAGCTTGAAGTTTCTCTTCTCTATCTTTAGGCCAAAATTAAGATTCTTTAAATTGACATAACCTTTGATATTTCATTTGTAGCGGTTTGGACTTTGTCCATCAGATTTATTCTCGTTGAACTTTAATTTAAACAGGTTGGCAGGACTTGCTTCTCGCTTCGAAAGTGTAAAACATTTATCGGCATTCAAATATTCAAATATCAATTAGTAAAGATCAATAATCATAAAATCACACTAAGTAGTAAATTAATCACCAAAAATTATATTTAATCAGAAGTAAAGAAATCAAAAGTAGATCCATAGAATAATCAGAAGTATAGAAAGTGTTATTAATATTAACGATAAGTGCTAAGACACGAGTCAAAATACTCAAAATTAGTCAATGTGAACCATTTTGTGTAAGAATACTTTGTTCATCCTAAAGATTCTTAAGAAATTTTATATTTGAGCCAGGATATATTCTTAAAGTATTCTATTTTTCTTTCAAATGTAATATGGTTTTATAGAACATTGCCAGTCCTCGAATAGAACTTTTTGAGAATAGGAGATACGCCTGCGAAGTGAGTACCTTTTATGAGCATCGCAAAAAGGTGCCTCTAATATTCTTAGAAATAAGATGATTTTGGGCCTGAATGTTCTTATAAACAATATGTTGATACAAAAAAAGACCAGGGACGCCTGAACGACCAAGCGGCAAGGGGGGCAGGCTTGAGTAAAAGGGCATTTCAAAGATAATTCTCAGCTTCTACAAATTCCTACGTTACTGCCAGTTTATTTCAATCTTCTGTAGGTATCTTCTGTAGGTAACTTGTAGGTATCTTGAACACAGGGGAACGTTGCCAAAGCTTGAGAAAACTTACCGGAAGAAGAACTAACATTTTTCTGTACTCTGACCCTCTATGAATTGTTTTTCAGGCAACATGTTAAAAATTCTCGAATGGGCATGAAATTCTGTAAACGTTTGCCTGATTGGGGGGCTGCAGCCCCTTTGTGTCTCTTACGCATTTGCTCCCCTATATAAATTGGAGCTGCAGCCCTGCGTGTAGCTTTCCCTGTTCTTTTTTGGCAAGTCACGCCCCGTCTTTTACTTTAATCGCATTTTTAGCATATTTAACAGGCTATTCAAAGCAATCTGATAATAAGCAAAATGCTAATTTTACCAGCAAGACCCCCGTATTGATAAAACCAGCCACTGGAGACTATTGTTACTGACGTGCAGGGTACTGACCCCCTGGTCAGTGGCATGTTAAGAAGCGAAGGAGGACATCAGTGGAGCGTGGTGGTACCACTGCTGTGACATTGGAGAAGCCATAGTTGTGCACAGTGCAAAGGTTTCTTTTGCTGCCCAGCTGAGCTGCAATTATCAACAATTTTGTTGGCCTTTTAGCATCGCGATCTTTGCAGATCTTTCTGGAATTCATCATGGAAAATGGCAAGTATCACAAATGTGTTTTTAGACCGTAAAGTGGTTTAACTTGACGTTGACTTTGTCGATGGCTCTTTTTGCACCACGATATCGTTTTTATAGGACGTAGCAAAGGTGCAAGTCATATGATCCGGTTATATAATGAAAATAAAGCTCAAAGATACTTGTATTCGCCCTATGAATCTATTAGAAAACATGAATCTATATGAATCTGTGTAAAGGTCTCCCTTTTTGTTGTGTTTGCGTTTTGTTGTGTGTAGATAGATCGTGTAAACTAATTTATAGGTAAACAAATAAATTAGTTTATTTATCCTCTTTTGTGTAAAATTACCTGCAATTCTGGGATCCCACGGCTGACGAAATCCACACGTGTGGCTGTGGGTGGATCTTAGTCCAGGAACTGTGATCAATTGTTCCCCTGGAATCTCGAATTCAATGTAGAACAATTTGCAAATGTTTTTGGACCATGGTCCAAGCACCTCATTTATCAAGAATCACTCGTGCATGGCGAGTCTAGTCATCAATCTTGGGAAACGCCAATCACTGTTTGTGGCGGACACACGAAGAATCCGGGCCGGGATCATGTTTAGCTGGATGTCATATTCTTAGGAGAGCGTTCCCTGGCCCTAGGCCAATCACCGTTTGTTGCGGACACACGAAGTATCCGGGCCGGGATCATGTTTTGCTGGATGTCATATTCTTAGGAGAGCGTTCCCTGGCCCTAGGCGACCTGTAACTCGTTACTGCAACCCGAAAATTCCTCGAAGTGTTTGACACAATTTTAATCGTATTATTCTGACCTCCAGTTTCGCCCATTTGGATGTCTCGTTTCTGCAACTCCTGCCTATCAGGTGAAGCCGGAAAAAACTTGCGCACGCGTTAACTTATACGATGCGTAACATGTATCTGTCGGGGAAATTTTGAAAAAGAATGAAAGTAGACAATTTTTAATTGAGACGAAATGCCCCATGATAGTGAACAAATTCAATTAAGTATCATAATTCGTTTATATCTGATCAATGAATGATAATTTGTCATGGCTAAGTTCATCTAATGATATCGAAGCTAAAGGGGAATTAAGGAATTCTATTGCTGACTCAGGCTCCAAAAACAACAAAGGAACCGACGAGAGTTACCCTTCTGCCTATTTCCTATTCTGTGGCTTGACCTTCCAGACAAGATGGTGGAGGATACTCGATAGTAAAATTTACTCACGAAGACATATCCAATTTTATTTCACCTATCATTAGACGATTTTCCCGACAAACAAACAATTTAGTGGAAAAATTGAAGATTTACCGACGAGCTCATAGCGTGTTGGGGTATGTCACATGCCCTACACCCCTGCATGGAGGGAGTTCCCCTTATTTTATTGCACCTTTAGGGTGTTAAAATTCCTAAATTTTATTTCTGATCACGCCCATCATGTTCGAAACACACGCATTTTATCAAGTGTGCAGTGATAATTTCCAAAAATTACCTTGGGCGTGCAGCTGTCATACTTACTTTCCATTGTGGCCCAGGGGTAGATCAATCCTGCTAGGAACTAAGGGGGCGTGTCCCCACACTCCCCCACCCCTCCTGACACTGCCATTGTGTATGACCGTAATCTTCGTGGGTTTTTAATGCAAACATGCCATCAACAACGGCATAATCTAAACAAACTCGTGGTATTCAAGCATTGGTACTGGATTTAGAAAATCTGTTGCATGTCGCCTTGACGCAAATAAAAAACCTTAACTTGTCTGCCAAGCAAGTGAGAAACCGCGTCAGTAACGATGTGTTTTTTCTCGATCTTGTCTTCTCAAATGGCCACACATAGTGTAGCCTGTAGGGTGAAAGTGATCTTTATGATCACTTACGATCGTCGTTATCAATCAGCAATCATCATCTTCATAATCATGATCATAAATCAATCAATCTAACAATTAACCAATCATAAGCCATTATAATCACAGAATAGAAATGACAATCTGTATTCTGTGTTATAATCAACCGTGAATCACTATAATCGACCGTCCATGATGATAGTCAATCATCGCAATCATAACCAATCATAATGATTGTGGCAAATCCTAAGCATTAGGTAATCTCTAAAAGGACACTATTTCTTGAAGGACAATATTAGAATTTACGCACGCTGTCATCAAACACTGGTTTTTTTGTTTTGTAACCCAACGCGACAAATTGCTTGTCTGACGCATTATCGATTACTTTGTTTTGATTTTCACGTCGATTTACCCTGGTTTTAGAAAACACGTAATGTTTATTTATGTTTTGACCTGGTTACCCTAATTTAGAAAGTTGCTTAAATTGAGCGCAACTCTCAGTAAATTTCAGACAGGACTGAGGTTGCCTCACATAAGAATGTTACTTCTGTCGAGGGGCAAATCACTCTATAAAATCTCGTACACCTTTTGTGAAAATCCTAAGAGTGAATTGCCCCTCGACTTCTGTGAGCATATTAATCATCATCAAAACATGCAGCCCTCCCAGGCCCGTGTCTCGTACCCCCTTTGACTCTCTGAGGCTCTGGCACCCAGGGTACGTACCCCTATGCATGCTCATTTTATCAAAGTTTACTCCCTCCCATATTCATTAATAAGATCAAGAATGCACGAACCTCCTCAGAGCTGTCAGTTGTTTGGAAGACGAATACCGTAAATTATCTTTTAAGCCCCTCTCTCAATTAAGCTCCCTCTCTAATTAGCCCCCCTTTGAGAAGGAAAAATTTAATTAGCCCCCCTCTCATTTTAGCCCACACCAAATTTTCACTGATGCCGAAATAAGTAAACTTGATAAAAACAGATATTTTATTCATTTGTCGTTCAGTACTTTGCATCAAATCACGATATTATGTTGAATGGGGTGTGAGCAGGTCCCATTTGCCGACCAAGTAGGTAAAAAATGCATATACAACCCCCCCCCCCACTAGACCTTTAGCATCCAATACGCCCATGTATTTATGTGAAGTAACTGCTAGTTACAGGGTCGTTTTAGAGCTCTGAGTAGGGCGCCTCTGAGAAAAGGAGTGCTCTTTCAAAAGGTGCGAAAAAGGCTGTCTAGGAGAATGACATTTTCCAAAAAGTCGCGAAGAGAAAAGGAGTGCTTTTCCTAAAGTTTGAAAGATACTTGTCCCGGTCCCCACATCCCGATTCAAATGCCATAAACAGGAATATTAAGTCAGGATTTACTAGTTCTCAGTGAATTTTCTGTGGTACCAACAGTAACAAAGTATTTGTATCCCCCGGTTCCAACGTCCTCCGACCGTTTCTACAATAATAAATATCTTTTTATTCCAGGGTGTAAATGCGGACCGGGCTACCCGAGCCCACTTGACGCAATGAAAAATGGCGCAAGGGAGAAAATTGTCTACCTCCCGTGCATTTACATAAACACGGGGGTAGATGCTAACGACTATCTGGCCACTGTTGATGTTGATCCAGATTCGCCAAGCTATACAAAGGTAAGTTGAGATTTAGGCCCTCTGCGTACTGAACACGATTTTGGGAAAGACTTCTAGCAAACTTACTCCCTATTGTTCAGGGGTGGAAGAAGTTTGGAGACAAATGGGAAAGTTTGCATAACCCAATCACTAACTCCAATGATATTTGAAATCCATTTCAAAGTAATAAAACAATTTAATACCCCAATATTATTTTTATTATATATCTTTATAGCTATTCAACAATGATAATTGTTTTATGCAAGGTATAAAAATTATACCTCTTTGTATGTACTAAAAAATTGATAACCCACCTGGATAAGTGAACAAAATTATAACCTAATTAGCAAGGCTGAAAAATTCCACACCCCTCCGAAAATTCTTCCATCCTGGCACCCAGCATTATAAATGACGACCCCATTAAGCCATTTTTACACGAGCCCGGGCTAGATTCCACTCCGGGTCAGGTAAACACGCTGCGGTAAAAATTTACGTTTACACGAGCCCGGGTCAGCTGGTTCCTTGAGAGGGTTGACCTCAGAGTTTACACGACCCTGGGTTGAGCTGGCACGACTTCACACGAAAAACTTCAGAAGCAGCCAGTGGCGGCGCCAGGGGGTGGTATTGGGGGGGTAATTACCCCCCCCCCACTTTTTTCGAAACATGGTCTACATATTTCGTCTAAAAATGGGTTAAAAAGCACTAGGTAGGGGTAGATCATATTTCCTAAGGAAATTTGACCTGGTACAAAGCACTGAAACGAGGCAATTAGGGTGTGGTCTCACTGGCCACGCCCATTACCCTCCCACTCGGCAGTAGCTGGCGCCGCCACTGAGCAGCCAACCTGCCTCAACGCGCACATCTAGAAGCAAATCCGGGCTCATGTAAACAGATTGGTTAAGGCAATGATGCTGTGAGTGGAAAGTAGATCCCCGCAAATAAGAACCTGAGAACTTAAGAACATATAAGCTTTCTTTCTTTGATTAATTATCTTGGATTCAAGCAATTTTTTGGCTGATGTATACAAATGTCTTAATATATCACCAGTAGCTTAACAGAATATCACCTGGGATCTATATTTCTATATGTATCTTAGGAATCAAGCTGAAACGGGGCCTGTATCTACGTATTGCAACACGCTCCCATCCATTGGTGTACAGCATATTAAACAGAACAGCTAGATACAAAAATGACAGGTTACTTTTGTACGGTTGAGAGTTTACAAAAAACTATGAAAAACCACGGACGGTGGAAGTTATTTTTATCAATTACAATGACAACCACACGATAAAAACAATCAAAGTTTTCATTACGTCATTATCTTTCTTTTTGCCCCAGGCCCCGAAAAAGCTCTTGGCGGGCCTTGTTAAAAATGCGTTGGAAGATGCAGGGAGGAGTCTACATGGAAAATTCTACCTCGAGCTATTGTTAAAGAGACATCATTTGGGAGATTCCCCATAAGTGACCCTTTTATTGGCAGCCTAGGCTAACAACGATATATTTTACAAATTTGACGTCACAATCTTAATGCTTCTTCGTAGGTAATTCACAGGACTACGATTCCAGTGAAAGGAGCAGAGCTCCATCACAGCGGCTGGAACTCATGCAGCAGGTGCGTTCGCAGCTCTATATCTGGGCTTCCCAGTGAGGTTGGGGCTTCCAAGCTTTCTATCTCCCCCCACCCTCTTCTTGTAATTCTCAGAAAGTAGTTTTAGCAACTCGGTTATTTTCCCCTTAGCTTTATGCAAACAGAAAATGCTTTTGCCCCTTGTCAATCCGAAGGGCAAACCAATTTATAAAAATCTCGTACACCATTATCGGAAATTTTATTGTATTTTCTGGAAATCCCTTGAAATCCTTTTGTTTTCCTGCAAATCTCTTACGCTTTTTGCAAGATTGAATTGGCCTTCAAAGTTGTCGGCTAAAAAAGGAGTGAAAAGAGGGTGTGGGGCTTCAAATTAAAAAAAGTCAAAATAAAAAGGAAATTTCATGATTACATTTCTTTATTACAAACATGCTGTAACGGATAAACCACATAATTAGTCTTAATTTGACAATAGAAAATTCTACCATCTTTATCCGAATGATTCAAACCCCTCCTTCCATTTAAACAAGCCACGCCCGTCTTTGGAAAAACAAGCCATCCCGTCCTTCCATTTAAAAACCCCACCCCCGTCTGAATCCAATCATTACTACGCATGCTATTGGAATGATGAGATGGGGGGTTGACTCATTCATATGAAAGTCCTTACTTAATCATCGCAAACCTTTTCAAATATCGCTTGTGCAACCGTACATAAATAAAGCAATATTTTTTGTCTTGTTGTTTTTAAAAATCGGCGGTGTTTGTTGCAAAAGAAATTTCAACAAAAAAATAAATCCATTGGGAAAAATCTCGTTTTTTCTGTTTATTTCCTTCGTTTGTTTATTTTAACTTTATTTTAACTGATCACCAAGGGACTGCATGAATAGAAATTAATTGTTATGATTTATTTTATATTGTTTATTATATCTATGAAGATCTTCCAATCTTATCGAAAACTTGTAACAATAAGGCGACATTTATCGCCGACATATAAAAGCTTTGTGGAGACCATGCTTTAAATTGCTTTTTTCATTGCTCTATGTAAAATGTTCTATCAGGGTGAAGACCCTGGTTTACAAAGAGAATCTAGGATGCCGGTGTCAAAAGCATAAGGTCTCTGTTACCTGAAACAGATGGATCTGCATTGCCTTATTGATCTTGCTGCTCCGACACTTTGATCTCTTTTTAGACGATTTTACACGAGGCAAGTTTTCCTTGACAATTTTTCTTTGAGAAGTTTATTTTGCTCTGAAATTGGGGTTTGATTTGAAAAAATGGACAATGCTTTTATACTTGACAAGTCTACTTGTCTCAAAAGCAGGCGTGCCAGTTTTTGCAAGTAAAAAATGTTCATATGCAAAACTTGCCCGTGTAGATGGATTGACAAGTAACTTTGACAAGTGTAAAACACTTGACAAATTCACTTCAACTCCAACATCTATGATTTAGATTTCCTTCTTTCCGGCGTAAGTAAATTGCTTTTTGCTTGGCTGTCAGGCGCCCAACGAGATTCAATTCTGGAACCGATTCGAGGAACGTCAATGCTCTTGAGCATCTGCAAACCGAAAAGCCTTGTGGATACAGAACAAAGTTTCAAAAATAGGTAGACTAATGGAAATTATAATTGGCCTGCTAAGATTTCCAATGAAAAATTCAAGACTTCAAAACGCCACAAATTTTAACCATTTGACTTTACTGTGGAGTCTGATTCCCTAATATCCAAGTCCTGCTAATCTTCATACTGATCTGTCTTGTGCGAGGCTGCCCACCCCCGAATACCCCACCACTTTCGGACTGGCATTTTTTTTTCTTTTACTCACAGTCAATTACTTGATTAGGGCTGCAACCCCCTGCTGTTCCCACACACGAAAAAATTTATTTTCTTTTTGTTATAAGGGCCATTTCTGGAAGAGAAGATATTTGCACAAATGATAAGCCTTCGTCAGAAAAAACCGAAGCTAACCATAACTTCCGTTTGCCACATAACACAAATGACTATGGTCAAAGAGACTTCTGTTTATCTTTTTTTCTACGCGAACTATTAAGTTGTAAGAAATTGTTCAATGACAAACTGTTTATAATCTATACACGGGCAAGGACTTGTCATGGAAAATTGCCAAGGAAAAATTGCTGTTTAATTGCTTTAAAGGCAAGGCCTTTGTATGGATCCCTATTCTTTGACCAGGGACGCGGATGTGGGGGCTTACGGGGGCTTAGACCCCCCCAATCAATTGTTCCCTAGTGTAGATCAATAAATTCATACCAAACCCAGAAATCGCCTACGAAATCTTGAACATATTGCTCTCATACTTCTTGATCTTTGACTGATCCAATGTGTTGTCTTGTTTTAAAATGCATTACAATAACAATTCTCATCAGAACTTGGGCGAGTGTGTCTTCACCTTATGCCTTAGGCCACATTTCAAGACAAGACATTGCCTGGAGAATGCCAATTGAGAGCTCTGCTTTAAATGATTCTTTTAATCAATACTTCTGGACTCTACGTCTAGGAACCTTAGAAAAAAACGAAAAGCTACACTTTGTTCGATTAACCAGTTCTAAAATATGAAACAATTTCATATGTGTTAAATAAATGGTTTTCCTTCTTTCCAGCTCACGTCATCTAAGGATGACAATTCAACCAAGAAATGGGGACATGATGTTGTACTTTTCCTACCAAGTCAACTCACCTCACTGATAAATCTTTTTCTTCTATTTTTCGACACAAGTTGAAACCAAGGAGCACCCACTTCTACCTCAAGGACAAGTTGAACATGGCATCCAAAGGTAAATTTTTAGGGCCCCTCATTTTATTAGACATCCAGTCACAAATGAGCTTTATACAAAGAATTGAAGAAACACTCACCCTTTAAGGGCGCATGAGCCGCTTAGTCCAACTTGACAAACCAGTTTGCGGACGCTGGTTTTGTAATGAGAAAACATTGGAAAATCAGACCTGTTACGTTTGCTGATTTGAAATTGGTTACGATAATGAACAATCTGGATCGTAATTGTAATAGATCGCATAAGCAAATGGAGCTTTTAAAAATGGGCCATCGAAATGCGTCGGGATAGGTTGCTCCTTTAAATGACCTACAATTATCTTCCACCTAACAAATCCGTTAATCTTGGGACTGGATATTTGAAAATTTGCGGGGCTTTGGGTTTATTCCGAGTAGTGCACACAACCCAAAACTGGACTGAGTTTGACAATACAGCGCGTAGGCTTTTTTTTAGGAGGGGGGTCAAAAAAATTCTCATGATTGCTTCCAGCCTCTCTGGGAAAGATTCGGCCTCGAGTTGGATACTCACCTTAATTTCACCAATACATTTAATAACTTTTTTGCGTAAACCAATTATCTAATGCAACAAGATCTTATGGGTGAAACCAATCAATATAACAAAAAATCTTAGAATTGGTAAAGCACTTTCTATTTTTTCTGAAGGAGGGCTGAAGGCCCAGAGGCCCCCTGAGGTTTACGCCTATGGTTTGAGATGGCTTAGTGGTCTGTATCTCGAGTCACAGTGTCGTTGACCAATTTTGCATTGAGATGGAGAGACATCGCAAAACTACTCAGGAGTTTCGTGTGTTGTTACATCCTCAGTGAGTGAAGGAGGCCGTGTCAGATTACAGATCCAGGGGCCAATGTCCCTTTCCAGACCAAATTTGACTAAGGGCGATAGTAATGGCAAGCCTTCTGTAAAATTCCAGGTTTACGGAATCACGTGGATGTGTCGCACGAGAGGAAGGGCCAGAATACTACTGAGTTTTCGATCTATTGTTCTGTTCTGACGTTTTATACTCTGAAGAGTGTCAGACGAAAAGCTTTTGTAACATGTTGCAAAATGTTTACTCTTTTCAAAACCATTTTTAAGAATAGCTACTCAGTGTCTTAAAACTACTTTTAAATGCTAGGTGGAAAAAAATACACAGAATAGCATCATTGCAAGAAGAAAAGCTACAGTGACAGGGAGATATTTGCATAGAATGAAGGAGAGCGACTATAAAATGAGGGGGAGTGTTTAGTGTGGGTGAGAGGGGCTAGGGCTGCCCAATGCCAAATATTAAATGAAACCTCATTATCGCGGAGATTGTTATGTTTGACCATACTCGAAGACTTTTTTGCAGTTTTTTTCTACCTCTTTCCAATGCTAATTCATGAAGTAATGCATTTTTTTGTAATACTAAGTTGGGGCATGTTTTGCCAAACGCAAGCGTTTGTCCAAGTTTTTGAAAAATTAGTATTACGTTATCATTTTTCAAAGAGGAGCTTTTTTTGTTTCTTAAAGACTCATTGCTAATAGTGAGCCATTGCGCTACGCAAGCATCCCAGAATGCATTTCCAGATAGTCTGAAATCAATGACGGTTAATCTGTAGAAGTTTACTGCCATTGTTTGGGTCGTCACCAGGAAAATTTGTCACGCTCGCAAAGGCTCATAGTTAGCAATGAGTCTTTAAAGAAGGTCAAATGTCAAGGTCAAATGTCCTCCCTTTTAGATTGTCAAAGCCGATGATGTATTTGAGAAGGCAGGAATTGGTTGGCCACACACTTCTCATTGTCTTGCTGATGGCCATATATTGATCAGCGGAATGGGTGACCGGGAAGGAAACGGGAAAGGTAAAAGGTTAAAGGGCTTACTCCAAAGGTCAAAGGTCGTGAGTTAAAAGCCAAAGAGAAATGCTGCTTTGATTTCGTCCATTTTTTTGTTCTGACTGAGGTAGAGAGCTAGAAATTAAACGACTTTATGTAAAATCTAGAAGCAAAGAGCACTTCTGACCTTTCCAATTAATTTCCAGTTGCCTTTCTATCTGGGATATCGAAGAATTTTAAAAGGCACTGTCAATTGGATACAGCCTACTACCTTAATGAATAATACAATCCAAAATCATTCATTTCATAAGAAGAAGTAAACATAAGAAGTGGAAATGAAAAGGAACTTTTATGTAATATTGAAAAGTTGTGATGCCCAAAAGTTTAGATTAGGTTTTTAGAGAATGAAAGGAGATAGGTGAAAGACAGCAGGCGAAAAGTCACAGAAACGAGGCTTTGAGCTATAAAACCTCTTAATTTCATTTGATATGACATCTCTTCGTTTCCTATGACTGGAATTAAAGGCATTTGACATGCATAAGTACAGCGAATCCAGAAATAACTTAGGCCAAATTGATCAGAGCACGCGCACAAGAAAGGAATTGGAAACTGCTCACATGATACCACTGCACGCTGCTCTAGGATTTCACCGATTTGCAGAAAGGCGGAAACTGTTCACGTGTTTTACTCTGTGCGCAATTTGATTGGTCAACCGCTCGCGGTCGAGTGGCTGTAAGCCACTTTTACCTGTGTCAAATGCCTTTAAAGTCAGGGAGGCAATGCATTGCTAAGGTCACGTCCAGTTATAAGTGCAGGCTTTTCTTTGATATTCAGAATTATATTGCTTTGATATTGCCGAAACCCCTTGAAAACACATAACTGCCATATATATTAATAGTATCAATTGATTTCACAGGGGGTTTCTTGCTGCTGGACGGCCAGACGTTCGATGTGAAAGGTAAATGGGAAAAAGATGGTTCCGAAATTCCATTTGGCTACGACTTCTGGTATCAGCCCAGACACAACGTGATGGTGAGCAGTGAATGGGGTGCTCCAAGTGCATTTATGAAGGGTTTTGACTTAGCAGATCACAAGGCTGGTGCGTTTAAATAATTTAGTTGTGTATTCTACAGTGCTGATCTTTATTGTAAAGTTCTGTACTTTCTAGTAGCTTAATAATAATCCGGCGGACAGCCTATCCTGCGGTTCTTCCTTCTCACACATTCTCAGTGAACACTGCTCTTTTCTTACCCCTGTCTTGATTCCTTTTCCCAATCCCTCACGAATTTAGAGCCCTTGGTTGTATTTTGAGGCAATATTTTCTCACCTAAGGAAAGTACGGGCAACATTTGAATGTTTGGGACTGGAAGGAACACAAGCTCATACAGCGCATTGATCTTGGGGACGAAGGACAGATTCCTCTGGAAGTTCGGTTTTTGCATGATCCAAATGAAACCCAAGGCTTTGTGGGATGCGCTCTTAGCAGCACTGTTTTCCGTTTCTTCAAAGCTGAGGTATGTAACATTTATATATCTCGTAGGACGGCATGCCATAAAGAGGGGATCGTAGGCGGAGATGGGGCTATTCTCTAAGATTCATCAAGTAGCCGTGCACTGAAAGGCACCTTGAAACCTTCTTAGCACGGACATTGTGTTAACAGTGGCCGGTTTTACCAGTGTCCGTTATTTGATGGTTCGTTATTTGATGGTCCCAAATGAATGATTTTTTGTTACAGTATAGAATAATTTGTCTAATTCATTATTTTTTTCTATATTTTTACTAACTTTTTGTCAATCGTCATGGTTTTTGCCTTTTGATCAGTTACTTGAGTACTTCTACAAATGTTTCTCTTTCTGGCTAAATTTCGAAGGGAAATACAAAAGGAGGAATATTTAGTAAAAATGAAAAAAATTCATGTAAATTTACACACAGTTTTAGATTACGGGTCTTCAAGTTTCACAAGAGTTGAAAAGAACCATGGCATACTCTTGATTCTTCGGTTAAAAGATCGCAGAATTCCAGATTCTTGAATATTTGACGTGGCTATTTTACAGACCACTGATCACACATGTTCTTAATATACTAAACACATTTTACGGAAAATTGGTCATGTATAGTCTCAATGCAACACTAATATTTTAGAGACCATCGATCACACACACTCCCAGTTTAACATACACATTTTACAGACCATTCACTGCTTATAATTTTGATTGAAGGATGGAACATGGAAGGCAGAAAAAGTTATCGAGGTGCCACCGAAAAAGGTAGAGGGCTGGGCACTACCAAATATGCCAGGTAAATAGTCATTGAACTGTTATGGATCATTTCAAAATCTCTTCAATTTTTTCAGTTGAGCAAGATGTTTGTTATTCTGTGTTTTTCTGTGTATTAATGTACGCAAATTACAAATATATTGCACTTAATTGCTCTATATTTATATACTTTTCATAAAGGTTCTTCAATAGGTTCTTGTGAAACGTTTTTATAGATACTCATCCAAAGAGCCTTATCATTTTTCTGTTATATTTCAATCATGTTCCCGTTTGCTTTACAAACCATATTTAACTATGGTTTGACCAAAATTCATTTGATCTTTGATAGACCTTGTAAGTTAGAGTCTTTTTGTTATTTGATATTGTAGCAACTGGTGATAGGGATGGGACTTCCAATACTTTTCTTCTATTATCAACCCCCATATAAATTCTACAGTATTTTGTACCATCTCAATTATTGGCCCGAAGATTCTCCATCATATTGAGGCTCCGCTTTATGCAGGGGCGGACACTTGGTCAAATATTGGGGGGGGGGGCAAGCCTATTGTTTGGTAAGATGACGTCACATTTACCATTGTTTTAGAACATTATCCTAAAAATATTGGGGTAAGGTGGCGGCCCCCGTCTCCCATTTGTCCGCCACTGACTATATGTAAAGTTCTAATGGGTTTATAATAGAAAACATACTAGTGAAATTTGTTCAAAGCTTGCTTTCTTCGCCTTTTAGGTCTTATCACAGATATTTTGATCTCGTTGGATGACAAATACCTGTACTTTAGCAACTGGCTGCATGGAGATGTTCGTCAGTATGATATCACTGACCCAAAGAAGCCAAAACTTGTTGGCCAGGTAGGTCTTCGAATGTTTGAAACTTTGTTTGTGAAACGTGTTTGCGTTTGTGAATTATCTTGATAATAGGGGAAAGATGTTCGAATCAAAATGTGACGTTGCTGACTTTAGAGGCCAATACTTGTTGGCCAAATAGGTCTTTGAACGTTTGCAACTTTGTTTGTGAAACGTGTTTGCGTTTGTGAATTATCTTGATAATAGGGGAAAGATGTTCGAATCAAAATGTGACGTTGCTGACTTTAGAGGCCAATACTTGTTGGCCAAATAGGTCTTTGAACGTTTGCAACTTTGTTTGTGAAACGTGTTTGCGTTTGTGAATGTTCTTGATAGTAGGGGAAAGATGTTTGAATCAAAATGGCGTTGCTGACTTAAAGGGGCGAAGATAGGTCTTCGAACGTTTGCAACTTTGTTTGTGAAACGTATTTGCGTTTATGAATGTTCTTGAGAATAGGGGGAGATGTTGGAATCAATTTTGTGTGGGGCTGAAACTTGTTGGTCAGGTGAAGCTTCGAGTGTTTTGAAACTTTGGGAACCTTGAAGTTTTAAGCATGTTTGCGTTTATGTGCACTCTTGGGTTTTGGAAACAAGAAACGTAAGAAACGTGTTTGCGTTTATAGTCCAGATTTTTTGACTCAGACAAGATTGATTCAGAAATGCTTGCTAGGTTTGCTTTCACGCTTTCGAAAGGAGCAATATGTTTGTATTTACGTGCGGTCTTAGGCTCTTCGTCTCCTAATTAGAATAACATTATAGATTCATAATAGCGTATCGTACAAAATTGAATTGTAGTTTGTTCTCTTTCAAATACTGTAGTCCATGTACAATTCGTTCTTTTTCCTTTTGATTTCTTCCTGCAATGAATGGAAAATTGTATCGTGGGTTTTTCTGTGTATATCATCTTCTGTATTCCTGTTCCAGTTATTCCTTGGTGGAAGCGTGATAAAAGGTGGACCAGTCAAAGTCACAGAGGACAAAGAGCTGAAGGAGCAACCCCCGGCACTGATCATGAACGAGAAAAAGGTTGAGGGTGGACCTCAAATGTTGCAGCTGAGCTTGGACGGGAAACGCCTCTATTTAACAACGTCATTGATCAGCTGCTGGGATAAGCAGTTCTACCCTGACATGCTCAAGTATGTTTATCTTCATCAGTCTAGCCAGAGAAGATAATATTTAAGGCCATTGACAGATTCTAAATTGCCTTAAGTTTTCTGTCAATCAAATTGGCCAATCAAAAAGCGTAATACCACTCAAACGTTTCTTGATTGGTCAATTTTGATTGACAGGCTGCTCTAAGTTTTTTTTATCTATCGATTGCCTTTAAGACTTTCGAGTTTACACTCATACACTCATTTTTTCATAAAACGAGTGTTGGACAGTCAATCAAGAAAAATTAAGAAACTTCAGTATTCGAAGCAAAAAAATTAAGAATCTATTAACCGTGATAAAACTGAGAACAACGAAATTTTGTAAAAACCAAGAACATTATTGCCCTGTTGGCCTAGAACTAAAAACACGAGGGATAAAAATTTACTTCCCACATCTAAATACAGCAAATCTCTTGATGTGATAAAATAAGATCACGAACATTTCATAACATCATTCATGACATCCTAATTAAGAAACTCTTAGCCAGAGAAAAAAATGTTGAGATTGTGCTGCTTGATTTTACGTTTCCACTTTTAAGAATCGCACTATTAGAAACGAGTGAACGGAAATCAGAACAAGTTATGGAGCTTCCGTACACGAAACAAGAAAATAAGAAAAGTTGAATTTTGAAAAAAACAGAACCTCTAAATTTAATGATAATCCATCAGCATAATTGGTTGATTGACAAAATTCTTCAAAATACGCTTCTCTCAGTTAAGTCCAGCATTAGAACGGAAGCGTATCTTTTAACAGAATTGCCAAGACTATTTGAAAACAATAGAATCATAGATGAGTCTTGCTATTTGCACCTACGAACACCCTCCCCACTACGATTCTGTTGGGAAATTTTCTTGATGGAAATCAAAAAAGGACCCCTAATATTACAATTACTGACGTTATACTTAAGAAACAAAGAAGTTTCCCAAAGCGTTAAGAATATCAATATGCTGGATGGAAATTGATACGTCAAAACTTAAAGGTAATGTGTCCAGCTATAGCAAGCGACTCTGCGGGGGTTTTTAGAAACATGTGATTTTTTTATGTCATCGACCCAGTCATTACGGTCGTTCTGTTTATTTACCCTGCTGCGAGGTTAGCTTTTCATGTGAGCAGTTTTGCATCGCAAGAATACTGACCAATCGCAAACTGTTATTTTGATGGGTGGCTTGACAAGTTGGGTATACACAGCCCTTTTATATGGACACATTACCTTTAATTAAAATCAGGAAGATATTTTCAAGGGCAAAGGTCAAAGGTCAAATAATTGATATCTTTTATAACTATTATTTAGAAATTCAGAGTTGATCATAAATATAAGCTTTCATTTTAAGTCATTGCACATCTTAATTGGCTGGATTGAGATTTAATTGGAATCAGAAAGTAACTATCAAGGTCAAAGGTCAAGACCATACTGTTATGACGTAAAAAACCCTGTTTTTGTCTTTACCCCCATGGCTAGGCTCGTTTTAATGTTTATTATAATATTTTTTAGGAACGGATCTGTTATGATGCAAATAGATGTTGACAATGTCAATGGTGGCCTAACCCTGAACAAAAAATTCTTTGTCGATTTTGGCCTGGAACCGAGTGGCCCTGCTTTGGCGCATGAAATACGCTACCCTGGAGGAGATTGCACATCGGACATTTGGCTTTGAATGACATAATCACTTATGTGCTGTGACGTCGCAATACCCGAGTCGCAATAATCACCGTTAACAGTTTATTTAGCCATACTGCATTCACCAGATGTTCATTTATTTCAGAATTGCATTAACAGTAATAATCTAGTCGTGCCATGACTGTTCAGCATTGTAATCAAAATGTTTTTTTTGCTCTTTATGCTTCGTTCTCTGCTAAGAGCGCCACTCATCTTTCGATGAGCTGGAATCACTGATCGCTCAATCACAAAAAAGACTGGATCGAGCTTCTCCAGCCCAGCGTCGATTCCACATTGCAGCGTCCATCTTGAGACCTCGACGTGTTGCTTGTGACTAGAGAGCAATCATGTTGGTTTTAGTTCTACTTGCTTTTTCATTTCAAAATTCAAAGTAACCGTTGAAACAAGATCTTGCAGCATTCATAAGTGTCGTTAAACATTTTTGCCGTGGTATTAAGTTTATGTAACGGGGAGAACCCACTGTTCACTTGTTTTCCTAGGCATTTTTCCTCTTAGATTATTTAAAAATTTAGTGATTAATGCACAATTTAAGCGCAAGAGGTCTCAAGATGGAGAGCTTCCTGGTGGCGATGTAGGAGAACAATAGGTTGTTCGATCCAGTCTTTTTTTAGATCAGTGGCTTGAATGAGGTTGAATTTAATCGAAATTTGGCTTCAAAAGGGAGATGGTCCCAAACAATAGCGGGAAGCCATTACTCAAAACCAATACTTAAACGATATGGATAAGCGAAAGCTGCGATGCTGTGTGTATGAGTGCTGAGAAAGAACAAGGCCAGAGCAGCTGAAAACATTGCTAGGAGTGATAGAGAAGGCCGTCTCCTCGTATGGGCTGTCCTAGGGGCTCTCCTCGGATTGCGACCCTCTGGCCACAATGGAAGCTCAATCCAGTCTTTTTATAGATCAGTGGGTGTTTCACGGAAACAGAATGATAACGAGGCCGTATTCACGGAAACAGAATGATGACGAGGCCGTATTATTTCGGTCATCTACAATACCAATGAAAGAAAAAAGTCGATTTTCCCGTCAGGGGCTCAAGATTCGAAATGATAATACAGTAAGGCCCTGCAACATACTGACAAATATTTTCTGAAAGGTTCTGGTTTATAAAAAACTTTCGAGACTAAAGTGTAATATGAAAAATCTTTTAAGTCGGTCCAAAATGTTTTTTTTTAAAAAAATGCATTTATGTATACAGTCATTTTTAGCTGACAAAATGAGGTTATTTTTTGGGTGACAGAATATTTAAGTACACAACAGCACTAATTTTTAAATTAAATGCCCACACGAACGGATTGAAGTGCGATTTGTTTGGTAAATCGTACAGTACAGGAACTATTTTTAAGAGAAAATGGTACCCAGGCTTAAAAATTTAAAACAATTTTAGCCTAAAGTAAAAAAGACCAAAGTTTTTAAGAAGCTTCTTTTGCTAAATGAAAAACAGGTTTCTTATTTGCAGGGCCTTACTGTATTGTTCAAATGGTTGATAAAGGTTTGTAACAAATAGTTTAGCACTAAAATTTTAGAAAATGAGGTCTTTGTCAAACTCATTTTGCTTTTAAAAGTTATTTTTTATTAGTTCATGTTAAAAATTAAGTGTTGAGGAAAAATACCCAAACCTAAGACAAAATTTTAAATGGAAAAAATATTTGTTAATGTGTCAAGAAGATGTTGACGTGAAAAGCTTTTTGCTAAAACAATCGATCTTGCATTTCATCAACGTGGTTAAAGTTACACTGATAAACATAAAGAGAGCACGCCCCCAAAAACCTTTTAAAGGCCATTGTACCTACAATCCCTGCAAATATAGTCGAGACTCTTTAATGGTGTTGATGTTGTCTCTTCTCTTTGAAAAATAACCTCCCCCTCCCTCGATTTAATTTTGAATACCATAAATTATCGAATTAGCCCCCTTGGGGCTTATCTCTTTTGATTTTTTTGGATGGGGGCTTATTCGAGGGGGGGTGGCTTTTTCGAGGGGGCCAATTCGAGGATATACGGTACATGTTTTTGTTGCATAACTGATAGAATTACTAATCCAACATTGATTCGGGATGGGGAGCGGGGATTCGAATTTACAGGGGCAACGTAAAGTAGAAAATTTACATTTTGTTGCGACGATTTTGCCCAGGATTGTAGTTCCAATGATATTGCACCAGAAAGAAAAATTGATTTGAAAAAGGAGCAGACAATAAAATTTGTATAGGCTTAATTCATTTATCCGATAATCATTTTATTTTTAAATAAAAGGCTATAGTATTTTCAAACTGCATCGTTGAAAATCACGCTGCGATGCAGCCAGCCTTCGTTATGCACCCGATCCGAGGCTATCGAATTTCTCCACTTTTCAAAATGGCCGTCGCAAGAAGGATTGGAAAAATGGCAGCTGATTCCACTGCATTTTTTCTTTGCGATATGCAAGAAAAGTTCAGGCCGACAATCAGATATTTCCCTGAGATTGCAAAAGTAGCGAACAGGCTGGTAAGTGTTTGCATCACTGTGTTTTAAAGTGACCAAAGTCCAGGTTAAAACCTCGGTTTTGAATTACTGCAAAGTTTTCCTGTGTTTATTTGAGCTGCCATGACTCTGGTCCTAGTCTGCAGAGCATGGCAATTCTTAACAAGATTTAGTGTGTACAGAGGCAACTAAAACGCGTGTAAGTGTGCAGAATAAGTTGTGTGAAAGACTTGTGTGAGTATCTTAATTCTGCGTCTGGTTCTTTGCATGACCAGTCTGCAGAGTATGACAGTTCTCTTGACAAGATCTTGCTTGTGTACAACATTTCAAGCTTGATTTTACCCATTTAGTGTAGCAAACTCAGAGTGCATTTTCAAATTTACTGACCTCGCACATGCATTTGCCAGACTCTGCAGACCAGTGCACTGTGGCAGCTCCAGCCTGGGATAAGTGGGGGGACAAAAAGGTGTGTATGGGACCACTTCATTTTCTTTTCCTTTTTCAGAAACATTTTCTTCCGGAGGAAACACCTCTTGTCTCTCAAGAAGTGTTATTTAAATTTGACGATAGATAACATACATACCCCCCCTCCCCCCTCATCAGGTTGAAAAGAATCTCTAGGATCAACTTTCTGAAAAAGTGGGGGGGGGGGAATACTCCGCCACTGCTGCAGACTGTAGTGTTGGATATAGTCACACCAAATGTTGCTTAAAATTTGTAAAAAAGCGTGATTGTAAAAAGGGCTGTTTTCAATATTCAGGTCTTGATTTTATGTGACTGATACAAGAATTATGGCCTAAGTGGAGTGCCTATGAGCAAAGCTGACTGTATCTGCAATGTTCAGTGTTAGGTTCTGAACATTGCTAAAGTCAACTTCACTTGCAACCTAGACTTTTTTACCAAGTTACAGTGGTAAAATATTAAGTCACCTTTGAATTGGAAAAAGGCTTCTTATGAAATGCAATAGAGATGGAAAACAGCAGTATTAGTTTAGCACAAAATTTAGCAGACTGTGCAAAATTTAGCAAACACCAAAGGATCTTACATTCATGTCAATAAATCTGGACTCACTTTCTATTTCTGTCTTGGGCTATGAAAGAATAGGAACCAAACCCAAACTATCCTAACTCCTGTTAAATAATTCTGCTGACTCTCTGTCATCAGACAAACTTTAATCAAAACTTTCTGCATTTTGAACATTTTTAAAGTTATTTATCTTCTCATTGTGGTTATAACAGAGGCAAATAAGTTACAAATTTGCTCAGATATGCAACAGCATGTTTTTCCTCAGATATGCAACAGCTTATGAAGCAAACAAAAACAGCTGTAATCTGTAAGAACTCAGCTCAGCCAAAACTCAGCTCTTTCATCAGCCAGAACTCGGCTGCATCTCTGCCAATTTGCAAAATAAAAAGACGCTCTTCACTTTCGCTCTGGTGAAGTCCCAAATGCTGAGGGGAAATATTAGCAATCTTTAATTTCCAAGTGTTCATTGTTGCTTGTTTTATGTGCCTTGCAGTGTTCCTTATTCTCTACATTTTTTAAACTTTCAACAAAAGCATTTCATTGGAGTCGGCTGAACAGACTCCTACCATGGCCTTTCCTTCCCAGTACATTTTTTCAAGTGCCTTTTTGTCAAAATATAAAAGTCCTAGAATAGATTTTAATCACATTTTTACTGACACTTTGCTTGTAAAAGCCGTGAATCACATTATTTGTATGTGTTGCTGATTGAGAAATTTGGACCTGCTTTGTTTTAGATGCAAGCAGCTGGCATTTTGAAGATACCCATGATTGCCACAGAACAGGTAAGTGATACCATTTGGATGCGTTCACATTTGCTTGCTTTGAATACTGTTAAAACACGTGACCTTGTAAAGATTTCGAACAAGGAATTGAAAAATTTGATAAGGGGAAAGGATACAACATTTATGTAGAGATGCAACTATTAAAAGATCAGATAAATTGAATGAGAGGTTGATAAAGTGAAGATGCTTTGGGAAAAAAAGTACATGAAAGAGGACCTGCTTTTTTACTATAAAAATTAACATGACTAGATTAAAGCAAGCTGTAACAAAGATTTGGAGCCTAGGAAGAAATTTTTCGTTACGTATGGCAATGCAAGAAGTTTACAGGCAGGAATCAAAACATTTATTGAATCATAAGCACTAAAGCTGTGGAGGATTATAGAACTGATTGATATATTTGTTCAGTGAACTGAATGTTTTAGTTTCCATGCCTTTGTTAATATCTTCAGAAATTGTAGAATATGCACTGCTCGTTTATTGCAGGCCTGTTTATTTTTGTTCAATGTTATTTGCCATGCAGAAGGGAGTACCCAAATGCTGTCTTGAAAATTCCTCATACTTTGTGTCATATTTCTCTAGTACCCAAAATGACTTGGCAGCACATCAGTAAATTTTTTTATAATATCATAAAAATTTTACAAAATAAACAAACTACAAGACAATGCCTCAAGGAGCATGGAAGGACATAGCAACCCTGTGACTATTACATTAAACATGTTTACTTAAAATTTGAATTACATTAAATAGTACAAATTACATATTACAGATTACTCATATAAATAACACTTAAAATGATTAAGTTATGCAAAAAATTACATTGACAAAACAAATAAAAAATAATGATAGACAAGTTACAAAGGAGAGAAGATTTGTAAAACTACTTATTGGAACCTTGTAGAGGTCTGAATATATTTTAATATTGCCTCAAGAATTTTTGTCTTTGAATTCACAGATAATTTTTAAAATGGCTTTGAAAAAGCAAACATTTAGTAAACTAAAGCTTTTCGTCTGACACTCTTCAGAGTTTAAAACGTCAGAACATAGACCGAAAACTCTACACTAGGAAATATATATACCCAGTTGTGGATCGAAATAGGCCAATCAGAAACACGAGCACATGACTGTATAGGTTGACCAATCAGTGCCGCTTACCTATTGAGAACGTTACCAATGGAGTCCTAAGGTGAAAACGAACTCCTTTTGTTTACACAGTAGCGGTTTTTCGTGCTTATGTAGATAGATTCTAAAACTGCTAGGTGGAACGACGATCGGGCTTTACCAATAATCCGAAACATGCCGCCATTTTTGTAACCATAAAGTATTTTTTGCAGTAAAGGTTTGTTAATCCATTGGGTTGCAATATAGCCCTTACACTGTCGAGAAGATCTGTATCATAAGCATTGCTGGGCAGCAAGAAGTGTTTCATATCCCCAATACCATCATTTACTGGTCACAGAGGATTCAAGGTATCACTGAAGCTATGCTTGAATTTGGATTCAAGGTACCCTCAGTGAAGTTGACTTTTTTTGTCATATTTTTCTAGTACCCAAAGGGACTTGGCAGTACAGTCAGTGAAATTGATGTCAGTAATGCCAAGGTGTTTCCAAAGACCGTCTTCTCAATGATGATACCGGAGGTGGAGGAGCATTTGAAGACATTGCCTGAAGTTAAGACAATTGTTCTGTTTGGAATTGAGGTACGGTGTCATAAAGATGTAATTAAACCAGTTTCTGACTGGCGAGGGGTTGTTCTCTGTTGCTCTATAACCCTATGTTCTATTCTGAAGTTTATTAATCATCAATCGTTTCAAGTAAGAAGGCAAAAAGTTAAGAATTACCAGCAAATGTTAATAGATTTGCATGACATCCGGTTATCATTGAGGTTGCCAGATAGGGTGCTGCAGAGGCAAGGCTAAGTATTATACCAGTGGTTTAGGCTCCCTTGCCCCCATGCTTCCCCTTCTGCCGCTAGCATTCCCCATACCCAGTGTGTGAGTGCAACGTACATCAATTCTCGTTTTCTTGACAAGCAAGGATATTCTTAGATTGTGGTGGGGTAGGGGTAGAGCTGGTGGTGGGGTTGGTTGGAGAAGTCCCCAAATTGGAGAAATCTTTCCTTTGCTGGAAAAGTCACCAGACAGGACAAAGGTAGGAACTGCTGAGTGTATGTTAAAACATTTTTCAAGATGGGAATGTGGAGGGAGTGGAATGTGAAGAGAAGGGAGTGTAGAGGGATTCGAAGATGAAGAGAACGGAGTGCGGAAGGATGTGAGTTTGAATGGATCGGGGTGTGAAGGGGTTACAGTGTGAGGGGGTTTGAAGGGGTTAGAGTTGGAATGGATGGGAGTGTGAAGATGTTGGAGTGTTTAGGGATTTGAGTGCAGCACCATAAGTTTTCATTAGCTGGTTGGGAAAGTTACCAAAATGAGTAGGAACAGCATTGTCTTTATTGTTAAATGTCATTTTCAATGACCCTTCCAGTCTTAACGGTAAGCCGATGTACATCCATGCACGTACCTTGGGTAGAAAGCCAACACTTTCAGACTTCAATAGAACAGAATCCACTCATATTTTGATTTTTGTTCTAGACTCATGTTTGTATTCAGCAAACCTGTCTTGATCTGCTTGAAAAGAACTATGAAGTTCATGTTGTAGCTGATAGCTGCTCTTCAAGGACACTTGTCGATCGGATGTTTGCTTTTGAGGTAAGTCAAACATTGCTACATTCCAGACTATTTGTTGAATGACACAGCCTTTTGGAAGTTTTTAAACATCTAGTTTCTGTTTGCATTTGAAAGAGGGGGAAGTCAATCAATTTCTTCACTTTTTTATTTGCTGCTACAAAGCTTACAAACTTGTTCGGGAGACGAAACCTTCAGTCCTTTGTTTCGAAATAGTACCGTCTTAAACCAATCAGTGTCGCAGGTTCATAGCACATGCGCATTAATAACAGTATTCGCACAGCTTTTCTGTTTGAAACAACACAACTTCCCGCCAGGGCTTCAAGTGCTGATGCGCATGTGCAATGACCCTGAAACGGTGGCTAATGCATGTCTGGAAGACGGGCATGATTCATCTCCCGAGCAATAACTTGGTTATAAGACACTGACAAGCTATGCTTATCCAGGGCCGTTGCTATCTATTGTACACTAGAGGATGCCCCGATCCCATTTACCGACAAAGTGGGTGAGCCATCCTATATTTGCCGACGAAACACCCCTAAATGGCAAAAAACGTACCGTTTTTACAATGAAATTTTCTTCCTGGGTGTTGTCCAGATCCTACAGTTTCTGTTTGCTTCTGAAAGAGGGGGAGGTCAATCAACGATGACGTCACAACATTATATTTTTCAAATGGTTTTTTGGACCACATGACCTTAAAGAGCATCACTCTAAGGCCTGTTTTTACATTTGAGAAAGGGGGAGGTCCATGGTGGATGTGACTGCTCTTCATTGAGAAGTACGGGTGTTTTATGCTGGGTGTATCAAAGGTACTAGACTTTCAGTTCGTAATAGCGCGAAGCTCGTAATATGTGGTGCTCGTAATAGCGCGAGTTAGTTGAGCTTTACACTAGGGGAATTCCAAGAGACCACAATTTCGGTTCGTTAGAGCTCACGAGCCTACGTAAAAGTTTGTAATTTCAGAACATCATGCTGCGAAAAAGGTTGATTTCCCAGCTCACTTTCTAGCGCCAGTAAATCACTTGTGCCCCTCCCTACCCTAGCCTGCGTGCAGACTCTGTCGACAAAATTGAAAATAGGAGAAAAAGTAGAGTCTGCGAAGCCGAGCCGATTTTCTTTTTCACAGGTTCCTCAAAATCAAGGAACCGATTTTGATTGGTTGGGAGAATTTCAATTGTTTTTTTTCAGTTTTCAAAGTGGCGCCTTCGAGCAGAAGTATAAATGAATGGTATCGGGATAATAGAATAGGTCTGTTTGTGCTTTTGAACAACTAAAATTACAGAAAAACATTGCACACTAATGGAGTTGTTGTTCTAGTGCCTAGAATAAAATTTTAATGTCAACCTTGCGCAGACTCTAATTTCTCTCCTGTTTTGAATTTCCGAGTCTGCACGCAGGCTACCTTACCCAAGCAGTGTGTGAAACTTTTTTTGTGTTCATAGAGTATGATGGGCATCTTCAAAAGTTTTTTTAACACTTTTGTCTCTAAAAACCTCATGACTGTCGAAGTTACAACATTCGAGAGTTCAGAATTCTGAATAAGGTTTTCAAAAGCACTATTCTTATTCACAATGGTTTATCTTTTTTTATCTTCACATTGAAAGCTCCTCCCACGTTAAGGTGACCTTATGCCCCGGTTTGACCTCTGACCTTTAAGCTCTTAATCGAAGCCACGCCTTCATGATCAAATTGTGAGTAATCACCCTCCTTTGGTCTAAAGTTCAAGCAATGGTAAAAACAATGGTTTTCTGATTATAAGTGTAAAAATGATCTCACTTTCTCGCTCAAATTGCAGTACTGCTTCGTTATTTCGATATCAGACACCCCTGTCCATTAAACCCGGTAAAAACTCTCCCCGGTAAAAACCGTCCCCAGTAAAAACCGTCACCGGTATAAACATTCCCCGGTAAAAATATTCCCCGGTAAAAACCCTCCCCGGTATAAACCGTCCCCGGTAAAAACCTTCCCTGGTAAAAACATTCCCCGGTAAAAGTATTCCCCGGTAAAATCATTCCCCGGTAAAAACCCTCCCCGGTATAAACCGTCCCCGGTAAAAAAATACCCCGCTGAAAAACAGTCCCCGGTAAAAACCTTCCCTGGTAAAATCATTCCCTGGTAAAAGCCGTCCTTTACATATATTCTAGAATTACATATATCCTTTACATAAATAGAAATATTCTCAGGACAATTTATAGTACACTCCCAATAGCTCTAACCTCTTAAGGGTCCAATCAAATGGTTCGAGATAGCAAGTTTTCGAGTTATGGGCGGATTTTAAAATTAATGTGCACTCCTTTTTAAAAGAGCATTTTTATAAGAACACGAGCCTCAAAATTGGTCAAAAGTTAAGAAGAAATTAAGAACAAGCTGAGGCTGAGCATCTGCAAAATGCAATTTTGAACAACGTTTTATCTAAAAAACGAGGAGTTTTAGCCATGTTTGGGTGCTTTTTCGGTGAATATTCAAACTTGTCGGCAAAAATTTGCAAAAACTCTTCGCTTTTGAGGTAAGACACTATTCCAAATTACATTTTCCAGTTGGCCCTTTTCCAATAAAGGTTGTCCCGCTCACTTAGTTGGTAAATGAGGCCTGAACACCTTCCTAGAGCGGAAAAGCTAGCAATCGCATTGCTTACACCCTCTTAATTTAAGAACAAATTAAGAACAATCCAGCCTCAGATTTTCGAAAAAATTAAGTAAAAAGAATGTATTGGGCAAGAGGAATGCAATGTCAGTTCGACTTAGCAAATGTTCGAGATATCGGGACTTCACTGTATTTGACATTTGACCTTTTCTTTGTAGAGAATGAAGCAATGTGGTGCGTTTATCACAACCAGCGAGTCAGTTCTGTTCATGTTGATGAAAGACGCCAAACATCCATGCTTTAAGCAAGTACAATCTCTAGTCCAAGAATCAGCTCCTGATTCAGCACTTCTTGGAAAACTGTAAGGACAATTTTTCCATGATTATTTTGTGTACCCTGCAAATTTATATTTCGTGTAATTAAGTGATCAATAATTTCATATTTTGAGTAGTGGACTCAAAACTTAGGTATAAATTTTCAATCGATTTGGAAAGAAAAGTTTGATAAAGTTGGAATAAGCTGAGGCTGACCAACTGGAAAATGCAATTTTGAATAATGTCTTATCTCGAAAGCGAGAAGTCTTTTGCAATCTCGGGATGCTTTTTCGATGAATTTTCAAATTTGTACCAAATAAAGGATGTCTCACTCACTTCAGAACAAATTAAAAACAATCCAGGCCCAGATTTTCTAAAAAAATTAAGAACAGCCAGCCTGAACTTCAATTTACTGGTTCTTTTAAAACTGTGTATCTGAGGAGAGTGTTATACCCCAGTGCGCACTGGAAGAACACACATGAGGTATTAACGTCTCCATCAAGTTATCGTGGGCAACAGCAGTGGCGTAACGGAGGCACTCCGGACTCTTTGGAAAAACTGAGACGGACCCCTATTCACGAACTGCAAGAAGGTCCCATTCAAGGGTCTAGTGTATGTCAAACACAATAAAAAGGTGTAAGAGTGATGCTTTATATGTGCCTCAGTTTGAGACCTTTTAGAGTTTGAAAACAATGTGAAATTGAGCAAAGTTTGAAAAATATGGGTGCCTTTGGGGCCCCTTTTGATCGGGTATAGGGCCCTATTGAGCTAAGGTGCCCTAAACTGCGTGGTAACAGAGCCTAAGAAGTCAATGATTTTACATCTATGTGATTGCGAGGAACCAGAAGGTTGTATTTTTTGAGACCAAATCGCGGAGACACTGGTATCCAGTGCGCCGTCAAGGAAAGGGTCCAGTTGCATACGGAAAATTCCTAAAACGCCAATTGGTCTCTGGCATGGGCGAAGTGGATGCAAAGCATTTAGGGGGAGGGGGGGGGGGTGCGGAAACTGTCTGAATCTTTTTGCTTCATTGAGATAGTATTGCCAAATTGAACCCTGAAATGCGATGAATGTTGCGGCCCCTATGTATCCTACCTCTATGGGTTCATAGGGGGCACGGGTACTAGACGATTCAGTTGGTTTGTTGATTTTCCCCTTCTAGTGTCCAATTGTTTTCTTAAGTATGTTTTCTTGAAAACAGTACAGTGTCAGGTCCGCGATCTCTTGGACTGTGAAAGTGTTGCCTTGGGCAAGTTACTTGCAGATATTGACGAGGTGATGGAAGTATGGTGTTTAAAGAAGCGACTGTGTAAGAATACTTTTTAGCATGCCCCCTGAGAAGCAATTGGATCAGGTTGAAGGGGCTACCGTGCCTGAATATTTAAAAACGGGAAAATGAAACAGGGGGCCTGATGATGGTATTTAAAGTTTGCAAGTAGCAAGTGCAGGTAGCAAGTAGCAAGATATCGCCAATAGTCGTTAATGATTGGCTCTTCTTTAAATCATTTCGCTTTTGGCAGTTATGCAAAAATTTACTTTTGCTATATCGACTTGGCGACTCGGTTAATGAAATGTATTGTGGAAAGAAATTTTTAAATCTATTGCCACACGCATTTAAAATTCAATTGCAAAAATTCATAGTTGGAATGAGAGAACTGGCAGACTCGATTCAACTTTAACAAAAGAGGGAATGTCTTTACAAATATGTCAATTTGTCGCAGGGACACAGGCTCCTCCCACTGGCCAACATTTTGAGGCTTCTTTTGTAGTATTATCAAAATCTGCTTCAGTTTTGATGGCTGGCAGACTTGCGCTTTGGATAAATGTCATTTGTTTTCGCGTGCAATGTTCTCTGCCGTTGTTATGTGACTGCAACTTCAGCTGAAAATAATTGAAAATTCTTGTAATTTTGTTGCAATACGCACTACCTTATTGCCGCAAATTAACGCCGCCCTTCTATTAAACGCCGTTCTTTCAATCAGCAATTTGTAATAAACGCCACCCTCTTGTTAACGCCGCATCTTGAGAAGTGGCGTTCATTAATAAACAGATCAAACATTATTTATTTTTTTATTTATTTATTTCATCATATTTTTACACAGAAACCCTATCAGCTATTAAGTTAAAAAAAGAAAAAGTAAAGATTAATTTATATTGATATTTATATTTATATAAAACAAGAAATAGCAAATAGTTTATATGCATACTATTCCAAAGCTATGAAAATTTTAATGTCACAGACGAGAGCTCTGAAGGAGGCAGGAGACAAATTCCTTGATGTTTCCATAATGTGAACATACCTCTTGTTAACTTTAAAAAATTTTCACACAATCATTATTTCGTGTTTTTGGGAAAAGTAAACATTGTTTAAAGTCTGTTTATCTTTTTTCTTCGCATCTTTCTTGTCATTTTTCATTTGACACACTTTTCATTAAACGCCGCCCTCTGATAAACGCCATCCCCTATTAAACGCCGAAATTCAAGATCGTTCCTGCTTAGAATTAGGAGATGTGTCCCACAGTTTCCCCGCGGTACCGCCATTGCTTTGTAGATAATCAAATTTGCGGATAGCGAACGTTTCGTGAGAAATCATGCGCGGAGTTTGTAGCAAAGGCTTTGGAAGTAGTCTTGTATTCTTTGTTTTTTTCATGTTATCAGAGCTCTGAAGTTTCAATGTCGGATATTCGCGAGGAACATGATGGATAAACAAATATTGTGCGCGGAACTTACGGCAGATTCTTAATAATGCGCGGGCGGAATGAAGGATGAAAATTATTGCGCGGGGGAACGCGAAACCAAACTTTACAGTCTGACATGAGGGTACTGCCCCCATTCTTAAGGAAGTTTTTCCCCCAGTTAACTCCCATTAGATGGCCTGTCATTTACAATATACGAAAGTTGTTTACTTCCTTGGGCTATTAAGTCACTTTCCAACAATTTGCGTTGTCTAATTATGCCAAACTGCTAGACTTTTCAATATTTGGCACTAATAAAGATATTTCTCTTTGATAAATAATCGTTATGTTTAATTCATTGGGCAATTAACCAGGTTCTCGGAAACTCTTAGCCAAGATGGGCCAACCCATTGCAGGAAACTGTTTGTTCTTGTTTCTAACGACCCTTGGAAATGTAATTACCATTAGCGAAAGTAAAAATGTGATTATAATTATGGCAATTTGACAAATTATCTGTTTACAATGTAAGGTTGATATTTGTGTTACTGTGATTTTTGACCTGGTCAGTTCGAGTATCGAATTTGAGCTTCTTTTATGTTGAGCATAGTGGCAGGATAAGGTCATTCGCTTCACTCTTTCTTTATGAGAATATTGTTTATAAAAATATTCACGCGCACAATCATCCTAGTTTCAAAGATTTCATAAGAATATTGCCCAGCCCCAGCTCGCATATTTGTGTCTCCTTTTTTCAGCGTTTTTTGTTTTTGCTATGTCCATAACAGGGAATCGCAGGAATGACATATCTTGTTTTTCAAAAAGCGTTGTTTTGCTCGAGGGGCAAATCACTCCAAGAAAATCTCGTACATCTTTTGTGAAAATCTTATTGTTCTATCTGAAAATCCCCAAAAATCCTTTTGTTTAAGGGAAAATCTCGTACGCTATTTTCAAGAGTGAATTGCCCCTCGGTTTTTTCAAGAATTGGCGATGTTCCCCTAAAACTCTATCTGAAAAGTAAGAAAACTTTAGGAATATGATCAGGCACAAAACGAATATGTCTTAAAATATCGAAGCTAGAAAAAATTATAGTATTTTTCAAAAGAATATACAGAGCTCTATAGTCGTAATAATTAATACAAAGAAATGGCAATGCATCAAGCATCAAAGTCTGGAAAAGCATCAAGAAGTCGAGGGGCAATTCACTCTTGCAAATAGCGTACGAGATTTTGCCTAAAACAAAAGGATTTCTGGGGATTTTCAGATAAAACTATAGGATTTTTAGAAAAGGTGTAAGAGATTTTCTTTGAGTGATTCGCCTCTCGCAAGAAGTAAGGTTACTAAAGGGCAAAGACCATGGAGTTCTAAAATGATGACGTCAAAAATATATTTTTAGGACATCTGAATTTGGATTTTTGAATAATCTTTCTCGAAAGTAAGAGGATTTTATGGAATGACATTCGACAACTTTTGTGGAGTGACATGCCCCAAGCATTCTTTCGGAACCCATAGGCCATAGGCCAACATTTAAGATTAGTCAGCCTTTCAGTTGAATTAACCTTTCAATTAGTCAACTGTTGAAAGCGAGGGGTGTTTCACTTTTGCAAATTGCGTACGAAATTTTGCCTAAAACTAAAGGATTTTGGGGGGTGTTCGGATAAAACTATAGGATTTTCACAAAAAATGTACGAGATTTTCTTAGAGTGATCTGCCCCTCGGTTGAAAGTGAAAACTTTGTTCAATAAAAAACATTGGTCTTAAATTAAAAGGGTGAATTTCCATTTCCCTTCTTAATCATCTTTCCTTGAAATTCTTAGTCAAGACCTTGAAATCGATCTTTTCTTTGTCATTTGCTATTTTGATCTCTCCTTTGAATTGTGTTCTATGACTTGTCCTCTGACACATGCCCTATGACGTCATGTGACACACCTTTTGTTAAGGCACTCGTGACTTTATGTTCACAAACTTGATTCATAGACAAAAGGTTTTCACCAGCCTAACAATGAGGCGCCTTTTCAAGGATACTTTTTTCAATAAAAATAAATTAATCTCTCTACATCGGATCTTCAAATGCCATTTATATTTTAATAACGAGCCAAGCCTAGTCTTTTATCATAGCATTCCTTAGCCTTCACGCATCCGGGTCCCTCCAATCGCATATGACGTCATTTTAGGTAACCATTCTTAGACTGACATGGAATACCACATTTTCGAGACGGGGGTAGAAACTGCACTGGTGTGAAAATATTCAGAAAACAATATCAGAATTACAATAGGAAAATATTGTACAAATCATCTTTTCCTTTTCCATCGCAATTTTATATCTTCGTCGCAACTGTAAACACGATTACATATTGCCACTGAAATTCCGGGGTGAAATATAAAATAACTTAATATTTCCACCAATTTAGCATATTTTGCTTTGCCTAGTCGGCCCATAACATTGATCCAGGTTATTGCCCCCCCCGAACCCTAAAAATATTTTTATACATTCCAACAAATTACATAACATGTTACTGTAATACCTTAACTACACGCTACTTAACATACATTACAAA